CCTATAGGTCGGGCAGCTATAGGGAACTTCGACGTATACAGCGTCAGGGCGAAGACGGACATGAGATAAGGGCACTGTGATGGTGCGGCCAGTACTTTCACCGGTATGCGATGCTTCTCGGATGATGTCCTCATGTCCGAAGTGAAGTTCGCATACCTAGAAAGGAATTTTGCGTCCAATAAACAAACCAATGGGTATTTGACGTAAAGCGCGGATTGCGAGCCACATTTATACGATATTAATGAAACAATTAATTCTCTACCAAAAAGAAAGCTTACCCTTGAATTCTCGGTGACGGGGAGGTCTTCCCGCGGCACAGCGCGTATCCATGCGTCCCTCAGTGTTTGATCCTTTGGGAACTTGAACACGTGCACTCTGGTGTCCACGGTGTAGTTTCCGCGGCATCGCGGCACACAGCACTTGCACGGCATCTCACCGCCGCTCTTTTCACATTTCTCAAGCTTGCGGAGACACGAAAAAACTCATAGTGAAGGGCAAAACACGAGAAATTCGACAGAACAGATATGCACGTCGAAAAAGACACTCGGAAGCAGGCCGATTCTGCGGGGGGACTGGTAGAACTCACTGTTCAGCCGCACCTGCAATGGGCGACATGCCTGGACAGGTCCGGACCCGTCGAGCCACCTCTCGCAGCCGCCCCATTAGCTGACGTAGTAAGAGTGGAAAGGGGGCAGAACCGAGGCTTTCTCCCTTTCCAGTTGGTGTTGGCACAGGTGAGTGGTCGAGCTCTTCCTCGCCTACCCCTGGTCACATGACTTCCCCGTTAGCCAATCAGTGTCGACCATCTCGCTCCTCCTCTCCCACCAGTCAACCAATCAGTGTCAAGCCTTGCGGCACACGCTTTTATCTGGGCTTCACGAAATGTGGAGCACTTTTTTCGTGTACTCTCGACCCCAGCCACCTGATAGGCGTATCCGGTATGGGCGATCGACGAAAAAATACTAAAACGTTTAAACCTGCAAATAGGAAAAAAATAGAGGGGAGGCAAAACGAGAATGTGCGACGGTTACGCTTATCTCCTAAATACCTTTTATTGGCATGGCGACGAAAAAAACACTTTTCGCCCATACTGGAAGTGACGACACTTCAAGATGAGCTAGGCTTCGAAGTAAAGACAAATAGCCATCTTGCTGTTTAACATCATGGTTGCCAGCCAAGCGACCCCAGAAGTGTATATTAGGTGGTGGGAGGGTGGGGTGGGGGGGGGGGGGGGGGGGGGGGGGGGCTAGCAGCCGAAATAAAGGGGGTTAAGGGGAGGACAAAAAGAGGAGTGAAGAAAATAAAGAAAAATAATTACGAAGATTTTTCTGTTTAGAGGTTTATTATCGCTACCTATATCGTGTGTCCATACATTCATCCAAAATTCCTGTCACGAAGCAATGAAATGTTGACACAATCTGATCCAATAGTAGTAGCTATACGATGGCATCGATCTACGGTGTCCCTGAAAAATGCACTGGAAAATCGGGCGCCTGCACGTAGAAAACTCACATTTTCAAAAACGGTATCTTTTAATCGTGGACGCATTTCTGTGAAATTTCTCGGCGCAGGTCCGTTCTTGTGAAAAGTTATAACAAGGTCATTCTTGAAAATTTCGCAAAAAAGTTTAACACCGGTGGACGCTGTCTTCCTTCGGTGGTAAGCATTCACTGGCGATGTACAGTACTTTTTTTATTTCAGCGTGTTTGCTGTTTTTATGGTCGTATTTGTAAAGAGAGCAAACAGTATGGGTCTATAATAAAGCGGTGCCCACATGAACATAGCAAGCTGGGTTGCCACGAACCAAAACGGTGTTTCGAAAAGGAGGCATAGAAATACAGGCGAGAATGCCGCGATTCTTTGATGTCCTCCAACGACCACCGTGATAGCGGCGCTTCAACACACGACTGCAGTGCGATCTCTCCCTTGATGACTTGTGTCGCCTGCTAAGGCCTCCCTTGCCTTAGGAGTTGGGATACTTTATTCCCTCAACTTGCTGCATCTGTAGGCAGTCCCTCGTTCAAGAAGGGCTTTGTTTTCGCGCAGACCATCCCCCTGTCTCGCGCTTCGGTTCTCCCCATGAAAACAATTACAAGACCCTCGTTGTTGTCTGGTGGGATATAGTTGGCTATACATCTTGGTAAAATTAGCGCAAAGACATGGGAGGTAAAACGTAGAGACAGGAAAGAGCGCTCTTTCGTTCTTCCTCTCTTGGCTTTGCGCTAATTTTACCTCGTGGTTGCTCTGACCGCCAAAACAACAAAAAAACAAACGCAGCTGCAAGAAGAAAAACAAAAACAAAAAAAAGCTAGAAGAAATCCTTGTGTTCTTTGGGAAACGTCACTGCTCAAAATAGAAACAAAACGAAGAAGCCGGCTGGCTGGGTGGACAAGAACAATGCGCTGCACGTTCCCTACATGGCCAACACGCGAGTGCAGTATGGGAAGGCCCGAGAAAAACGACCAAGGAGAGGAAGAGAGATCTCTCTGACTGTGCTATGCAAACCTCAAAAAGTTTTTTTTTTTTTTTTTTTAGTTGGCGTTTTGTTTGTGGTTTACTGACACTTTGCTTTATTTCGCCATTTTTTTCTGGAATTTCGTGGATGGAGGTTGTGCCGTGATTTGGTGACTAACCAGCCGCAACCAAAACAGCCACGTGTTTGCCCTTAGCCAAGTACCTGGCTTGGTGGAGCTGAGGAACAACGGGAACATGGAGAGGAAGGGAAGGGGGGTAGGGGTGCAGGCATTGTTCAGTACTAGCCTTGGGCCAAACGCAGGGGGGCTCAGCATATTGCCCAGCACCCTTTGGAAAACGTCAGCGAGGCAGATGGAAAACGAGCGAGCTTGTCGGCACGCATTGACCGATGATGTTCATTCGAAGAGGGGGACGTCGGAATTCATTGGTTGCGTGCGGGGCCGGACAAACAATCGTTGCCGCGTTCTACACCTATTGAATTTTCTTTTCTTTTTTCTCTGACTATTCGTTTTTCTCCTGTACAATGCACGGATCACTGGTGTGTTTTAGAACTACCTCGCGCCGCGTATGAACAATGCACAAAACTTATTCGTCTATTAAAAAAAAAAATGTTTTTTTTTTCTTTTTAGTTTTGGCGATGGTTGCGTATTTTTGTAACTGGCCCGAGTCGCTTCGAAACACGCTTCGAGCAGCCAAGAGTCAACTTGGGAGCAACAAAAATAATCTGAGCGCAAAAGTATTATGCGTTCTTATACTGTCTCCCCTGTTGATACTAAATTAAAGTCTCCTTTTGCACAGTGCTACCGCTTATGAGTATTCATAAAATGAAAACAGCTGTTTTTTACGATTGCATGTGCAGCAACTCACAGGCACATGCCGACTGAGGAGGGACATAGCGTGCTGTGAATGGAGTTAAATATTATTTCGGTGGAATAATGTTACGATAGAATAAAGTAATTTTAATTACCAAATTCTGGTTTGTTTAAGTTCTAAAGGTTGAAATAAAACTGTATAGTTCTTAATTCTGATAAAATCCAAACTTTTCACAACTATACAATTATGCTCGCCAACGACATTGTAAAATATTTGACGATATTAAAAATTGTATGTATTGTGTGATGGGAAGAGGGGATTGATATAAAAATAAACTTACGAGATGAAGAAATAATCTCGCTATGCCCAAATATCCTTTCTTAGATTTAACTCCGAAGAAAATGCAGTGAAAGACCGACGACGTTCGCTACTTGTCAGGACATCGCAGTCGATCGTACAATTGCGTAATAACCGCTATTCGGAATACTGCACCGCACCCCGCGCGCGACGTTTCCCCTACATACGCGGCTGCAAAGCGGCGAAGCGTGATGCGCGGGATCACGGCGCTCGCTCTGCATCTGTTGCTCCTCCGCAGTGCACCAATGCACGGCAAGAAGCGCACTCCACGGAGCCATCTAGCTCGGAAAAACTTCAATAATTTTTTTTTTTCCGGATTACTGGTAGTGTTTGACACGAAGTTCGATTCGAATAGCATCTTATTCGAATCGAATTTAGACAATTTCGAAAACTTATCACTGCAATACACTTATGCGTGTTCTGTCCAAAAAAAGTTCACATTTAATTTTTTTTTTTTTTTTTGTGATTTGTTTAGTTACGATTGATGGTTACCGCTCGTAACGGGGGAGCACACGGGCGCCACTTCGGATCTGCGTGTATTGCCGCGTGCATGGACGAACGCTACTCCGCACTTCTGGGAGATTCCCGTTTACCCCAAGTGATTCGACGTTCGATTCGAATGTTCGAGATACCGAGTGTAATAAATAAGGCCAACATATCCTTGCCGAGTCGGCCTCGCCGTAGCTCGACGCTCGAACATTCTAGGCAGAAGTTTTCGTAGATGGTTTTTGCCGTCACGCAACGCTCTCCACAACCCGCTACGACATCCGCGCTTCATCAGTCAAGGCTAGCGGCGCGCAATCGCAGTAGTGGTATCTTCGTTGCGGATAGGTTAGCGGAGGGAGGAGAGCGGCTTACGATAACTCCCTAATGTTGGAGATACCGAGGGGAATAGATAAGGAAGCCAGCGGTGCCTTGCCGAGTCAGAGACTCTCGCGTTATCCAGCTGTCACGCCGACACCTCCCTTCTCGACTCTCGTTCTTTTGTTTCTGGCACTAGTTCGCCGATTAAAACTTTATTTTCAGTTTTACGCTTGTCGACCCGTTTCCATCCGCGACATGATTTCCTCATTTTTATACGCATCATTATTCTGCCATTTGGGCCTGAAATAATTCTGACAATGTTGTAAGCAAACATTCCTCAAAGATACTGCACAGATTGGATCCCACGAATACTGCAAAACCTTCGTACTAAGTATACGCAGATCGGACGCGTTTCCAGGGCCACCCGACAGAAGGCGCTAGTACGTCCTCCCGTCGTAAGGCAATCGACCCCACTAAGACAGAAATGTGTGAGCCAGCCTTGAACATAAAATCTCGTCCAACAGTTTAAAAGACAGAATGCTAGGCAATTATATAGTGCAACATTCTTTTATTAGCAGCTCCCGGTCATGTAAAACGACAAGTGATAATAGTGAAACTTGTGAGCCTTTTTTGCTTGAGTGAGGAGCTACGGAAATGCATCAAAAGGCGTGCTTTTTTCGACGGGTCATAGCTGCAGGTACTCGGACACGAATGCCTTGAAAATCTTGTTCAGGTTGGAGATGGTCGGGTGATGCAGGTTCTGTTCGTTGTCGTCGAGCGTGTGCCAAACGTCTGGAAAGGGACTCGGGATGATGTGCACGATGGGGACGCCTGTGCAAATGCGGCAAGAAGAACACCACGGAAAATATAATTGGAGCATTTGTAATGCCATTCAGTTCCCCAGCCAGTAGATGGTATGTTGTACCGAGCACGACACTGTTAGCGCGAACAAGCGATTGCTGGTTTTTTCAGTTTTTTTTCTTTGAAACCAAGCGATGTCATCCAAGTTATTATTGCTACGGAAAGAGCTCATTTAGTTCTATAACGTAAGCGATAAAATTTCGTGCTCGCTAACACCATTTAGAAGTACAATGCGAAAATGCGCCGATGTCGTGTTCGCGCTAACAGTGTCGCGATGTGTACATTTAGCAGAAAAGAGGTACCTGGGGTGTGCCAATTGGAATATTTTACTTCTAAACAATAATCTAATTGGCCTTCCAAAATGTCTATTTTGCACTTTCCTGCAAGATTATGGTCACATTTACAACCTAGAAAAGCTACACTTTTTCAAACTATATCTCCCGGTGTCATCTAAAACAAATAAAACTCCAGACAAAAAAAAAACACAAAAAAGACAGCATAGAAAGGCTTGAGCTACATCTGCAAAAAAACTTTTATCTATGAAAACAAGCCAAGAGAGAAAATGTAACAGCCACAAGAGAGTAACAGCAAACTTTGTAAGTAGTCATGTCTTATTAATAAGGATACCCCACTATACAGATCACAGTTTCGAGGGCAAACAGGGTGGCTGCAGGCAATTTGTTTCTCCTTTTCATGCACAACTCACATTATGAACGAGTTTTCGGGGAGAATGTGATCTTATTAATGAGACATGACTGCACTGCTAGTAATAACTAATAAAATATGAAGCATACACAAGAGAAACAATGAAGAAACCTTAAAAGTCTAGTTTTGTAAGTGCCTCAATTTCTTGCCCAAGATATCACTTAAATGGTCAATGAATCAACTAGTAACATACAACAATAAAGGGAGAAAGGGGAGATGTACGCGTGACATGGATGCTTCCTGTAGATGTTTGACCGTGCCATGTTATGTTGCTGTGCTGTCTTTTCTATCCCAAATCCATAAGTGTGACTCTTTTCCTCCAAAATTCTCAGACGTTCTGGTTTCGGGGGTCCTCTGATGCTGCATCTTGTGAAGAAATCTGTCCAAAAAGTCTACCAAAACAATTGGGCCGTGTCGGCTTCAGTAACGCCTAGTTTCTATACGGTGTATTCTAACCCCCAAAAAATCTAAAACTGCCATTTTTAGAAAAACTTTGAAGACTGTCTGTGAAAGATGTTTAAATCACTTTTGGTTCAGGCAATCAAGTCCTCAATAAGACACTGTGTTCATAGATTCCAAGCGCCCCCCACTTTTCATCCTTAATGGTACAGCCCAAGGTGAGGGGTATATTAAAGCTTGAGCTTGATTACATTCTTTAAGTTTGTTTTTGCGCACTTTGTCTTTGAAAAAAACAAGATGGGTGCTTGGAATTGCATAAGTATGGCACTCTACAATTGCATTGAATTGCAACTGTAATCTACGGCTTTTCTTTTTCGAAGTGGTGTGCAGAAGATTGTGAGGGGATCACCCACTTCTCTTGAGAAAGGGGATGTGGTCGTCCTCGATGAAGCCCACCGTTGAACTGTTGGAAAAGTAGTTGGTCCTCCGTCGGCGACGTGGAAGTTCCATCAGCCCAGCGTCGTTGAGCCGGCTCTCTGAGGATTTCACGGGACGGAAAAAAAGCAACTCCGTACAAACACGGTGGCGTCGTAATAAAGTTTCTTTTTATGCAGCGACTGCCCAACATAGAGGGTTAAGACGCCATTATCCAATCCAATCCAAAAAAGGCATACTTTCTGATCTCAGTAGCATTTCCTCAAGAATCAATACAGAACCCTCCCCATTCCCCTCCCCCTCCCTTCCCTTCTCCCCCCCTCCCCCTCCCCCCCCCCCCACCTCCCCAAGAAAAAACTACCTATGAGCATTCTTCGTTCAGCTCAGAAAATTCAACTTGCCTAAATGTTTTTGCACTTTGTAAAAAAAGAGAAAAAGAAAAGCATATGTTTAGAGCTATAGACGCTTTACACACGCGCAAATTACAGCCGCCATTGCTGACCTTCTCTTGTCTTACAGAGATGCCGAGCAACTGAAACGGTAGTTGACAATCCTCTACAAAGGCCGATGCTTTAGAAAAGGACACAGTTGAATCTGATGGGGCAATAACCTGGCCTGCTATGGTAGTGATGAGGTAAAATAAACAAAATAAGAGGAAACAAAAACTGAAGGTCAGTTATGGTGGCGTCCATGCACAGCTGCTGCAAAGCGTCTATACTATGACCTGCACAGTAGAGTCTTTATAGTGGTAAAGCCATACTTCGCAGGAAATAAATCCACTACAGTTCATTGAAACTCTAGAAGGTAGGGCGAGGGAAAGGAAGGCCGAAGACGAGGAAGCGGACAGAACGCTAGCGAGAGAAGGAGGTTTCCCCTCTCTTCTTAAGCGTTCCATCTGGTTCCTCCTCCCAGCTTGTCTTATCCTTGCCCTACCTTCTCGAGTTGCAATGGACTACAAATCGGTGCACCAAAAGGTTGTACGGGAATCACAAGCACACTTCTGCCATCGTTCCTTCTATCATTGACGCACATCTCTCCTAATTAGGCCAGCCAGCTACCTAGGGGCACAACGAAACATAAATTGATTGATGTATCGATTACTATTTTCATTATGCTGTCGAGGTTTGGTTGTACCATTACTGGTTGATCCCCGATACTAAAACACTGGGCTCGAGTTGTCCTGAACAAGCAAGTCCATTAAGCTGTCCGACGAAGTAACGCTCATTTGCATGGGCCTTCGTGAATTCTACGTCAGGATTGCAGTTGGGCAAATACCGTATTTACTCGCATATTGGTCGATACGTCGTATAGGTCGACCCCCTAACTTCGGGACCCCCGAAAAAAAAAAGAGTTGAAAAATATAATACCGGGATTCGCGTATTGGTCGACCCCCCAGTTTTGATAAGGCGATTTTTGAAAAACAGGTTGACCTATACGCGAGTAAATACGGTAGTTTAGTGGCTTGTACAGCGACCACTGACCGCCAAAGTCAGCCGAGCCGACTTACCGATGCTGACGAGCCTCCGGTAAACGGGCTGGGTTTCCCCGAAGTAACTGTAGAAACGTGGATTCTCTGCCCCCAGCAGATCCAGGAGCACCATCACTTCCTAAGAAACAAGGTGTGTTTTCTGCACTTCAGGCCCTCCATCCACACACAAGAATTCAGGGCACATGTGACAGAAGAGGAAGTCATTCTAGAAATTAACCATTCTCAGAATTCCTTAATTTCTCGTAAAAACATAGCGAGTTTGGACGAGAAAGTGTTTTTGGCAATGAAAAGTAGGCACTGCACGAAACCTTCCTTGTAAAATGTCACAGAAAGGAACTCATGGATTTGTACTCCTGTTGAAGAGAAGGTCACGGAGTCGAGGAAGAACTTTGCTGGCAGTGAAAAATGTATGAACAGAATTGATTTTCTTTGTTTAGCTGCTTTATGTGGCTTCTAGAACATTTGATGAAATTTTTTTTGCAAATTATTATGCCATTAAATTCTTTCTAGAAGCTCAAACTAGATTCACTATATATTCCTTGCATATGAAATACTACATCTCATTTTTCAATAAACCAGCGAAAATTAACCTACTGTAGGCAAGTTTCATTAGGATTACCAACAAACCTACATTTGAAGCAGCATTGGCCTTTATGTAGCAAACTACTTACCTCATGCAAAAAAAAAGTTCAGTTTAAACAAAAAAAAAATGCACACAAAACTAACAGTTAATGCAAGGTTAATTCAAATCAGACAGGGCCAGCAACTTCTTTTATGCTCGAAGCCAACGACCAGTGGTAGTCTGGTAAAACTATCCGTATGCATAACTGGAGGACTCTACAAGTGCTCTAATACCAAAGGCCACGCAAGCGCAAAACAGACAAAATTACGCTCCCAGGTGAAACTAAGTCTAGCAAGATTGCGGTACCGCTATCGCAAGCTTGGTACCTTTCAAAGATTTGCATAAGCTCCCGCAGCTTCAACCAACCTGCCACAAAAAGCAGCCCTCGAGTGTACACATGGCTCGCACGCGACGTCATTGGTCCACACTGGTCATCGCTTTTACTCATTCTTGTCGCCAGAAACAGGTTCGACGATGCAAAACATACGCCGCAAAAAATATGCACTCAACCACCGGCACGGCAGTTGACGTGATGCAAGCGCAACTCCTCGAGCGAGGTGTCACCCTTACCATTCGGTCGATCTGGTTGGCGATCTCGCTCCTCTCGAGGCAGCTCTCGAGTCTTTCGGCCGACGTTCGGTCCTCGTGCCACTTTTGGGCGAGGTGCCGCGAGCCGTAGAGGGAATCGTGCGAGCTCCAGCGCTCGAATGCCTCCTCCCCGTCGAAAAAGACCAGCTGGAGCGTCAGACCGTCGCCCTGTGCGCGTCCAAAGAACAATCGACAAAACGAGTTTTGGAGGGAGGTGTCTAGTAGGGTCGCCAACGGAATGAGAACGACAGGGCTGAGCTTCGGTTGTTCCGCCTCTAGCTTGAGCTCCTTACCTTTGACAACGCTAGGGTGTCTCGCCAAAGTGCGGCGAAAGGCAACGAGCGCATGATAAGGGCCGGGCGTTCGAAAGAGACGCCCTGTCGTGCTCTCACCTTGTCAGCGACTGTAGCTGGAACTCAACTCAGTTCACTACATACTCGCTGAACCAATCAACTGCCTGCGTTTCATCATGTGACCCTGCTTTCCGAACGTTGGTATGGGTGGAAATGTTATCTTATAACTAAAGATAGACGTGTGGCTGGGCGAACTAGCGAGTAGCTTCCACCACTCCATCAGCTTAGTGATAAACGGAATAGATACTTCATCATACAAATGCCAACAGTGGAACGAATGCACGTAAGCCTAGCTCAGCAGAATGCTTTGTTTGTGCGAGAACTCGCGTACAGAAGGCACTCTTCCAAGCCACGTGGTTGCTTCGGAGCCCTTGTCAGCACTGCAGATGTTTATGAGACGGAGTATTTGCAACCCTGTTTCAGTTTTCTAAAACTAAATGAAACACGAATATAAACGACCCAAGGATAGAATTTCGGGATGGCTGGAATGCTCTGTCAGGGTTCGGTCCTTCTGAATCTCCAGACACTTCAATTAGAAAAAAATACGGCCATTGCCAAAGGGGAATAAAGAGATCTGCAGAGATCTCATGGTTCTCAACTAGACTCACCTTACAGCTCCGTTTCTTGAAAGTCGAAAAATGACATTAATCATTTGGAATGCGATAATTAATTACAATCCTTTGTTCTTTCTTGTTTCCACAATTTTCTGCCGCTTTGTCTTTTATCAACGACCAAAGGCAGGCTACCAAGGTACATGCTTGCCTGTTCGATCGGCAACAGGCTCCAAAAACAGGGGGTTCGCCAATTGGTGCGCGAACCAGAGGCAACTCTGGCTCTTCTTCTGGTGACTTTCAATTGAAGTGGGGCTTCAGTTACAGCACATGTCCGAGCGACAATGGCCTTGAGATGCGCACAAAGCACCCTGAGCTAAGTTCCAAAAAGGGACCTTCTTCAAGGTCGAGCAAAGACAGTGTAAAGGATCAAAATCTCACTCTAGTCTTCTGGTTCTGCAGCTTGCCATTCAGGGACCTCGCCAAGTACACCAGTTGAGCGCACGGCACAGCAGAATCGGTAGCACCAATGAAGGTTCCTTCCTTGTGGAGCTGCGTGACCATCGAGAGCAAAGGAAGAGTATGGATCCGTTTGTATCATAGTTTGGCAAAAGCCAGTCCCATCTGTGGTGTCTGGTTTACTCAGTTTTGGGTAGGCAACACTGCAATGCAACATGCCATATATGCAAAGCTGGAGCTCTCCATTATGATACGACAAGCTGAGTGGTCCCATTAGTCAAATCGTTATTAAAGTGTCCTAGCCATGCAGAAGTGACGTCACCTTGATATTGGTTGCAATCCCAGCCTGAGAATATTATCACCAGTACAGCTTGACTGTAAGACTGTAACACCAAATCTAAAAATTTAGGTGGCGGCCACCAACAGACTACCCAATCAACCGGAAGTACATTCATTAAAAGTTCATGCCACAAAGTTTGCACACTGACAACGCTTTCGACCTCTAAGAACACCTCAAGACTCTTAAGAATTACTATTAGCCTTGTAGCAAAAATTAAGACAGTTACCATGAACATGACCCCTCTAGACCGGGATATTGATTAATTTTACAGCCCTAAAAGAACATGCCAGAAGCTGAACTGACGAGTGCTGTTGTCAAGCCAACAGTCCCCCTACCTCGACAACAGACTGCTGCCAACAGAGCTCAATCGATTGTGCACATTTCACCTTCCGATTTGTTCCGCTAAGGTACAGAACAATGAAGAAAGCACATTAGCATTAGCACAATTGTGAGCATCAAAATGAAGGTGCAATTACCAGGGAATCATAGTGGCAGGCCAGCACCAGCCGATGACACGCGCTTGGGTTGAGCGTCGCTATCACGTTGCAAAATGGTTTTATCCCGTGCGGAGTCTGGCCGTCGAAGCAGTCCTCTTCCACATCCCAGTTGAGATCCTTGAGCGACCTCACAATGAACTGAAACAATGACCGTACATTTCGATGCATGTTCCCAGGAGTGGCACATACTCCATGAGGAGCCTCATATTTTCACGCTGAGGTGCATTGCAGTTATGGATACGGCAGGCGGAAATCTGAGCAATCAATCTTATTGTGGAGTAAGTAAAATTTTGAAAAAGGGGTGTTGGCGGGATAGAATTTGTTTTTAACTGATCACAAGAAGTTTTATGGTGTCAAATGAACGCTTTGGAAACCCGCTCCAGCACCTGCCTGGCAGGTGCTGGAGCGGGTGCTGGAGCGGGTTCTAGAGTGCCAGCTCAACCTGCGAGCCCGAATGCACATCACTTTGTGGCACTGAAAAGTGAGGGTATGTTTGAATTGTGTTTCTGGCATCGTATTCATTTGCCGATTTCACAAATATTCTGAATTTAGATATATCAAATAGTACACCAGAAAAGGTAAAGGCTGGGCATTCAAAAATATAGTTTATTTAGGTAGCTCAAAAAAACACCGGAGTACGCCACCAAGTTTCACCCCTTTAATATGCACCCTTTTGATAAAAATGAACATAATTTAAGATATTTTATTTTTATTTGTTTTAAATTAATTTCTAACGCGCAAATTTGAACTGGATCAAACCCATATGAGCCGCTATGTTTTTTTTTCTCCAGAGCTGAGCTGGACCTGCACCATTTTCCCCTCCCAGAACAGAAACCGGACAGAAAAGAATTTGGGTGCAACACACTGGCCCTGATATACACAGGCAAGCCAGCCCAGGAATGGTGAGTGTCCAAGAAAGATTACAAAAGCAGAAGAGCTCACCTCCCTAACCTCCCGGTGCTTCTGACTCCCCACAACCCTGGGGACGAGAAAGTTCCGCAGGGTGGCGTTGAAGTCCCCCCTGTCCTCGTCCGAAATCTGTCCCATGTACAGCAGATCATGATGGGCCAGCGGCCGGAGATCTCGGGGCCACTGCAAGGCGATCGGGCATGCGTCAGCATACTGCCAATCACTGCGCACCTAGCCTACGAAAACGGGGCGCTCGACTGGTCCGGCCTCAAGCTGCCCAAGCTCGCCGCGTGCACCCTTTCCTCGTTAGCAAAACTGCAAAGATCATTACCACAATGGTCACTTTACGATTGGCCACAGAGGACACACTAAGCCATGAAAGCCAATCCCATGCTGTGCGAGTATCGTGGGACCTTCGGAAGAGGTGCAGAGATACATGGGCCAAGTATTTACATGGTACGTTCAGGGCTAGATTGGCTGGGATAGCTCGTAGCATCCTCTGCGGTCCATGTTAGCATGGGGTCACTTCTATGACTGGCTCCTCATGTCATGTCTTACTCTCGTAATTTGTCTTTTTGTCGCAGTAAGTCCAATGACGAGATAAGAACTAGCGAAAATATTTCGTTTGTCTGTACGATTGGCCAAGTTTTGTTAGGCAAATTCTCTAACATCTGAAGAAGCTTACTACTCCAATGCCCTCAAGAAGCTACTTTTTTGGCCAAACATCAGCAACCACCCTGAGGCTTCCAGGTTACTCTTCTTCAAGAACCAATGCCAGACTTTTTACAATGCAAGACTCTATGCTCCGCTGTACCATATACTGCAAACTGGAAGTGAAAGCAAAAGAAAAACGATGTAGAATTCTTTGCGCAAAATGCACCATGCATTGCAGTTGCAGAGCAATCCACTTATAATGCCTTCAGCTGTAAGGAGGTTACAGCAATCTAACAAGTGCGTATAAAGACAGCATGCAATGGTTGTTCCTTTCTTGCAATGAACTACACGTTTTGCGAAATACTGGTGTCGGTTATAAGACCAACAGGCAGAGTAAGGTACCATCATGCACGGTTCGTAGGTGCAAGCAGTCAGACAGGAAATAGAGCAAGTCTATGAGGAACCACAGCAACTTCTACCAAGGCCAGAGTATGCGACAGACATAGCTGTAGGAATATCAGCCACTATTGTGGAAAAAATGTCACAATCTGCACTGGGCCAGCACTTTGTTTCAGGCATGCATCGCTTTTGGGGAAATGAAGTCCAGAGAGAGTTAGCTACCCTTTCCTTTGAGAGAGTGAAAGAAAGGCTTTGCCCATCAAAGTTATACACTGAACATAAACTTTACTCTTCAAAAAAAAGTGTTATTCAAGCATGCGTCAAGCTATAATGCAAACCAACTCTTCCCGGGGGAACAATCATTGCTCCCCCAGAGAACTTGGAAGAAGAAACAACGAGAAACTATCCACCGCATGCTGTCAAGTGACAATACTAAGCTGCTACCACATCAGCTTTCTGCTACAATGAACCCTTCAATCTACTTCTGAAGACCGTTTCCCCGCACTGTTTCTCATCTTCACAAACGTCTCAAATGAAGGAGGGGGGAATAGAGAAATTAAAGGTTAATATCTTTTTTTTTTTGTTTCGTTGGAAGGGAAAGGAGCATGCACCGAGCTCGTGCAGCAAGAGGCACAGCGTGGCGAGAGCGCAGCCTGTTTGCACAGGCGGATGAGAGGCCCGCACGGCCATTTCACAACATTACCTTGATGAGCTTTTGCTGTTGCCCAAACAAAGGACCAGGTTGGGGGGGAGGAGATGAAAGGAAGAACAGAGACACGAGAACGGTCACGGAGACGTCCACACGACACACAACGCAAATTACGACAGTAGCTGCCACTCTTAGAAAGAAGAACCCGGAAAAGGACATCCCGGAAACCTCAGAGTGACAGACGACACTTCCCCCTTAAGGACGCGTGCAGCTGAGCCTTTTAAATCGGGTGGTGGCTTGTGCCACCTGGCCAGTGTATTTAGTAACAACCTCTACCTGGTATACAATACATTAAGAATAAGGCTTTCAATGGTAATACTGCTTACTGTTAGAATTATGATCCATGTGACAAAAGCACTTCTTGGCAAAGTCTTCTGCCACTCTGAAGCTGACAGGAAGTTTGTTTCTCAAGCCCACATTAGAAAGGTACACTAAAGGCTGGTTAAAAAAAATGTGCATTTCAGCGTGACCGACTGCGCCGAAACCGCTTGTGTTTGCTTACGACGGGACAGTACACTGGTGCCACCTTTTGGTAGTAGGGGTGTCGCGAACCGGCCAAGGTTCGAGTTCGACCAGGTTAGACTTTTTCTAACTTTTAGTGGAAGGTTCAACAAACCTCGTATTGAGGTTCGACTCGTGTGTGCATGCACGACAGGCTGGTCAGTTGGCTTCGAATTGGATGGTGATGGCTAAGGGATAAATTAAGGGCAGCTCCGATTGGTTACTTCAGTTAATACAGTACAAAAAAAATTAAGTTATTAACTTCTTCAGTGATTAGAATTGGTTTCTTTTAATTGCAACTGTTTATAAAATAAAATAACCTTTTGCATAAAAGAACAATTCTCCAAATCTAGGCATGCTTGTATCAAGGTCTGGCCAAAGTGTCCACAAAGTCAAACTGGTCGAATCTGGTGAAAAGTGTAAAGGTTTGTCGAACCGGTTCGATCCAGTCAAACCCCGAAAGTTCAAACCAAAAATCCGGTTTGACAAAAGTTCACGACAACCCTAGTTGGTAGCCCTGGAACTCTTTAGCCTGTATACAACTACTGGACTGAAGGCCTTGCAGTGTTTCTGAGATCAAATCTATGATCTACCCCAGAGAAATGGTTGTGTATAACATTTTCAAGACTAATTTCAAGCCCATGGATAGAAAACAGTTGATACAAAATCAGGAAATATATGCAAGTCGGACGTGTTCTAGGGTAGTGGTCCAGTCACCGGTGATTGCAACGCGGTCGTTCATACTCTGACACAAATCTGTTAACCAGTCTTTACGCGATCAAAGATTTTGGCCTTAGTTTCACTACCGTACCATAAAATAACAATTTCCTGCCTGCTCAATGCACCGGCCAACCAGAGAATACATAAAGAGAATGTTTATGGCGTATGAAAAATGAGTTGAGAAGGCCATTCTAAGATGCTCGGAATTCATAACATTATGGATCAGAACAAAATTAACTAGCTTTTTGCTTTCTATTTCGCGAGCAAGAAACATTTGTCACTACTCTCGAAACGCCTCATTGTCGTATCAATAGACATGGGGATCCATTTCTGGTTTTTCGAGCTTTTGAATTATTTTTTTATTACTTTATTATTCATTCATCACATTTCTGACCTGTGGTTGATTACACGTGTATTGCACGCCGGCACTCTGATTTTGTATGAACACATAATACACAGAAAACTTAAGGAGTCTAACATCCTATTTAACGTTGAAATAACAAATGTCAAGCGCCCCAAGCGCAGATGGCGAGACACCGATTTCCATCAAAAGTGAAAAAGAAAAACAGAACAAACAAACAAACAAAAAAAAAACGAGGAAATTTAATTAACCCATTCCCCAAATCACATTCACCAAGCATGGAACAACCGCGATATACCATATGGGACGCGACTCCGAAGATCCCGTTCGAACTTAGTGCGTGGGTCCTGAATTTCAGGCACCGATCGCACGGATCGTACGGACGTACCGATCTGGCGGAAACATGGAAGCTCTCGATCTACGCGCTCGATACTTCCGGCAGCACGTTTGTCGGCGACAGACTTTTCCTACTGCCTTCACGAGTGAGACCCAGTGAGTGAGACCACGCAAACCGTAACCGCTCTACGAACCACGGTACCGTGCTACGAACTTCTAGCGACCAATTAAATAAACAAAAGGTATTGTTTGTTACCTTCAGGTCATGCCAGCTGAGTGCAGATGCGTCGAAGATCAGCGCGCCTATCACCAACTTGAGCAGCAGAAGCACAGGGAAGAGCATTGCCGAGTGCAGCGTGCGGCAACCGACAGTTCGTCGACGGCTCCGCGCTGTCAGGACGGGCACGAAGGAACGGCCAGTCGAAAGGTGGATCTCATCGGAGGAGCGGTATCAGCTAACACCATTTATCACCGAGCCAACCCAGCCCACGCATGCAGTCGATGCAGTAGCCAGCGAGCGGCGGCAACAAAAACAACCCGGCGAACCTTAGGTAAACAGGGTAAACCCACGCGTATCTGCATCGCGCATTGCGTCATTAGCGCCCTGAATTTGAGAGGGGTTCCAACTGCTCGAACAAAGTCACGTGGTTTACAAACTCCGCATGCGCAAAAGCAGCCGATTTCAGCTGGCTTCTGCCATTAAATTGCAAAAACTCTGATTTCCATAGAACTGATTTCAGCTGTTCTCTCTTCCACTCTCAAATAAAGGTTTTCTATACCGCGCCAGCGCGGCCAGCGCCTCCTCGCATGTGAAGGTGGTTTTGGAGGACACGAGGGCACATCTTGCATAAGTAAACACGAGAAGGAAGAGACGACGCAAACTTCTTCAGAGCCGAATAAAATGATCAAAAGATTGCTCGAATCTCATCGAAGGAAGGTCGCGGCATATATGCGGTGTCCTCGGTGCTCAAGCGTAAACCTCCTTCCGGCGCCTGTCGTCTGCTACGGGTTTTGCGCAGCAGACGACCCAGTCATGCGAGACCCCAAGGCATATTCCAAGGGTTCAGGTACAGTTGAGGTGGTTGAGGTGCGCGTTACACAATAATTATTACATATAAAATAGTGTTATCTTTGTTATTCAGAATAATAAATAATTTACAAAAGTTGGTAACTTTTTTTTTTCTTTTCATACAGAAAACGCAGAAGGACAAGGATGTGGAGAACATGGGTCCATGTATTTTGTTGACATGCCACAATAATATTTAGAGTTAACCTCAGCTCTTTGGTGTGCTTTTCGTAATAATAAAGTACAAATGTTTTACGCGGTTTATGTCAAGGGTGAAAGCTACAAACTATATCAGGGAACGTAGAAGCTACACGCGCTGCTCGAGCTAAGCGAAAATATAAAACAAATGGCACAATGGCATATAACACGCGCGTTCCACGGACGCTTTATTTTGATTATTTACTTTGAATCTTTTCTATGGTGAAGGCGAGCACGCGCAGCGCGTCTACCTACGTTCCCAAAATTCTCTTTCATGTTTTTTTTTTTTATAGTCAAAGCGATGAGTTTTTATGATAGGTGGCGCAAGCTACCGTCTAATATAACGGGTACAGCCGTTAGTATCTATCCACAGGTCGTTTCCGGCTTTTTTTGTGGCTTCCAGTGGTGGCTTCCGGCATATGATATTTATGCTTTGACGTTTCATGCTTCCATTTTCAATCTTCGAAATGATTGAAAGTTGAAATTGTTCAAATTCTAGGAGCGTGATAAACCTTGAGAAGCCAGGCGTAAGTTTCTCTTGCCGGTCCCGCGCCAAACACATCGCCGAACTAGGCACATATGGGAGGAGGAGACCTCTGCTGCGTTGTCGGCTGCAGGAATCGCAAAGGAATCGAGCCTGGGCTGTCATATTTCAGCTTTCCAAAGAACGACAGAGTTCGAGGACTGTGGCTGCACGCCCTGTCCCGCACTGGTTGGGTGTCGACGGGACGATCGAGAGTCTGTTCCGACCACTTCACGGAGGAATGCTTCGACGAGACAGCCAAATTTTGTGCGCAGTTTGGGCTCCCATTTCGACGCAGGCTCAAACCCGACTCTGTACCCACTGTTTTCGACGAAAAGCGCCCACCGCCGGTACCCTGCGGTGCTTACGCGAAGAAGAGGTTGGAGGTGAGACTTGTACGCGGAGAGCTCATGCCATTTGGGTCATCCTTTTCGAATGGCGCGTGTATCACTAGGGACCCACGCCTGCGTTCACGCCGCTTCGCGGCGACAGTCTGCGGCTGCTAAGTACGGAACTATTAACCCACTTGGCCCCGTCGTACACGCCGCTTCGCGGTGTCCAGCCGGCAACCCAAGCCCCGCTGTTCCGCATACACCCCCGGAAAGGGAGTCCCATACCATTTAGTTCGGCGAAGTTTCGTTGACAACATTTCTTTTTTTCGAAGTGTCTAGCGTTACGTCCGACGTAACCCAAGTTACGTCCAAATCTCCGCCTTCCCTAGGTTTACGGGGGAGAGAGAGGAGTGCGGGGGGGGGGGGGGGGGGCGGTCGGTTAGGTATACGCGTTTCAGTGCTCCGTCCGGACGTAACGCTAGCCACAGCGTTCTTTTTTTCAGTGATAGACCCTTTCCGAAATTCAGTGACATCTGGTGGTTGAAATGGCGGTTTATCTTTTGCCGTACTAATGGCGGCAATGAACCTGTAGCCTGCAGTATTTTATCGGGCACTGGTAGTTTCGCAAGTCAACGGCAAACGAGAATGCGCTCTTCACTGTACAATTCTTTCTCGATCATCGATTTTAGTGTAGATGGCCACAAAGATGCGAGCAGTCAGAGCGAAGCGCCAACCCAGATAGATGCCATGATAAAGTTCTACACATTAAGGGGCTTTGGAGTCTATTCTGTGCTACTAACTGATTCACTGGGCCCGAGTTATAGAAATTAATGCTTACGCTGGCGCTTGCATTCAATTTTTGCTTTCGGAACGTGCAAACGTATAGAATGTATAGGCATCAAATCCTCAGCTTAGGAATATGTTCAACTTGTTCATTTATCAGTAAACAGGAGGCCGCCATTATACTTGTTTCACCTTATGTTGTACTGCAGCGAAGGCTAGAAGCGCGAGCTCTTAGCGTTGGCAGCTGCTCTTAATTCACGAGAGCGTGTGCCGCCGAGATGTGCCCCAGAGCAAAGAGCTCGCGCTTGTAGCCTTTCCTGCGGTACATCATAAGGTGAAACAGAGTATAGTACGGCACATATGACATTTTGTAGATGATGATCAGGGATGGGCAAAATACATGCAAATATGTATCGAAATACAAATACAAAATACTTCGTCAAAAATGTATTTAATTACAAATCTAACTACATTTCCGAAAAAGTATTTAAGAACAAGATACAAATACAAGCAAATGTATTTGGTCTCCTCCAAATACTTTTCCAAATACATTCCTCCAAATTTACGTCAGCGACTTCAGGGCACCTGCAACGGGTTTCTGGGTATTTCATTTTAATTTTGCATTGCACACTCGGGAGTTAGTGTGCGAGGCTCTAGTAACGTAATAGAAATATAATCACAAAAAAAAAAATGTAACCAGCTTGGACGTAATAGGTGAAAAAAAAGTAGATTTCGTCGGTTACATTTTGGTATAGACCAACAAAAAAACAAAAAAAAGACGCGCAGCACTAGCTAGAGAATTTTTTTATTGTTGCAACTCGCACCAGTTGCGAAAACCTGGACGACCTGCGCATTTAGAATGTTCCAGGCAAAAATATGGATGCAAATGAGGCCAGAAAGCATCACAAGTTGTCACAGGCACTTATTTAGCCAGTCTGCCTGTGAACGTCGATTTCGTCACTATTCTTATCCTGGACTAGCACCGTAATCACAAAGTCACTAAACGCTTGTGCTCAATTGAGAGACACTACATTCGGTGCAGAACGTAGTTTTCTTCCTGCTCTGGACACGTCTTAGGATGAGTAAAATGAGTCGTGACAATAAATTAGAGAAATGTATTTTCGCCCACAAAATTGTATTTAATTACAATTGTATTTGAAATACCCATATTTTAGTATTTAAATACACACATCAAATACATTACCCAATTTGTAATTAAATACAAATGCAAAATACACAAAGTATTTGAAATACGTATTTCAAATACTTGTATTTGAAATACTGCCCATCCCTGATGATGATAGTGATCAAAGTGGCCAAACTGAATTTCGGAAAGGGTCTATTGTAAAAAAGAAATGTCGTAAATATCGCCAAATGTTCGACAAAAAAGCGGACACCTTTCCACTAAGCTACGCTACAGCTTCAAAAAAGTTGTTTTAACAATTTGTTTTATACGAGACCCAACAAGTTTTGCGTCGTGCATATAACCATTTCCGGTCGAGGTGCACGGCGTTACGCGTATAGCATTGGTCTTTTGGACTTGTTAACCATGTTGGATTAACCTAAGACTGGGGTAGAGAAGAAACATCAAAACATAGAAGGGACAGAAAATAGACAGGACGATGTTTGAGACGTCGTCCTGTCTACTTTCTGTCTCTTCTATGTTTTGGTGTTTCTTCTCTACCCTGTCTCAGGTTAATCTAACATGGCTAATATTCACCAGCTCGCTTGCACCCTTACAATATTCTCTTTTGTATTTGTTGTTTCTCCAGTCGAAGGTGAACCTCGCGTTAAATAGTCATCCTAACTCCCCCCCTCCCTTTTTGCCGGCAAAAAGAGGGGAATTGCGTATGGTTTTAGTTTTTAGACTCTGTAGCGCAAGCTACCATCTGTTCTAAGGGGTACAGCCATTAATTTCCATCCATCCATTCATCCGTGGAGTAACGTAACCTCAGCTCAGCATAGAATAAGGTGTAACACATACGGGGTTGTAGAGGCTCGTATCGTATGAGATACGGAAGAACTTCCCACACCCGCCTTTTTCATTTTTCCAGAAATCTTATGGGAAGGATATGTTACAGAAAGAGGAAGGCCTAGGGATATTAGTAACGATAAAGAACTTCTAAAATAGTTAATAGCTAATTTACCTATAGACGCTTTCAGGCAGCAGTCCATGGCGCCACCATAACCGACCTTCAGTTTTTGTTCGCTCTTATTTCGTTCGCTTCACTTCATCATTGCGACAGCAGGACAGGTTATTGTCATTTTAAGTGTTACTGTGTCCTTCTCCCCAGCCTAGGCCCCTGTGGAGGCTGGTCAACGGCCGCTTCAGTGGCTCGGCATCTCGGTAAGACAAGAGAAGGTCGGCTATGGCGGCTCAATCTGGCGCGCGCTGAAAGCGTCTATACTCGTTTTCACATCAAGAACTACACTAAAAAAAGTCTGGCTCCTTACGGAGGGTTACCGATTTCCCCTTTTACTTGAAGAAATAAGATATATGCAGGTACATTTTAGATTAAAGGTATGCTATCTTATCAAGACGTACCTGTTTGTAATGCCAAAAGCATCTCTTGTTCCTCCGACAACCAAATCTTGTAAGAACTGGTTTGCGTGGCACATGAACAATGCACAGCACTTCCTTTTTTCTTCAGATGAAAACGAGTATAGTTGATTTTTTTGTTTTGTTTAATACAATGAGTTTTTGTGTGTGGAATATAATACACGACATTGTAATCTTTTAATAACCATATATTTGCAAGTTGGCACCTGTCAACTTGCATTCACCCGATCTCAGTTTCTTCTGATTCTGTAGTTCAAGCCTTCACTTCTTCGTCCTCAGGCCTGAATTTCACAAGGGAAGACAGCTCAGGCGATGGTCTCCAGTATCTCGATCTTCGTCTGCATCTTCTTCCGACCGGCATTTGTTGGGCCTTCCAACAACGGTCTCGGAAACCTATTCTTCCATTCTGCAGTTCCCATTCTAAACTGGTAAAACATGGAATCATCCGGTCTCTCCTCTCATCTTCTCGCACCAAATCATGTTCTCACTTTGCAAGCTTCAGCATTGCAAAACAACAAGAACGTCTCCTCAGAGCAGGTTATCCGCAAGGTCTACTGAGCACCATTCTTGTTCAGTTAATTCTAACCACCCAAAGGCCCCGTGCTCCACGTAGTAAGCCTTCACGCGTTATCTGCATTCCCTATGTGCACAACTCGGCGCACAGACTGAAGGCAATTGCAGCGCGCTTCAACGTTTCGGTTGTCTTCTCGTGCAAGTTGCGCCTGAAACAACTGTGCAGGCGCGTGAACAATAACGAATCCATCAAAAGATGTTCCATCAAACTCGCTCATCAGACCGTTCCCTGTGAAGAGGGGGTGGTATACTCCATCCCTCTCTCCTGTGGCGACCGATACATTGGACAGACGGGTCGTTGCCTTAACACGCGCCTACGAGAGCACGTCCTCGAGGTCTCTCGTGCTTCGGACAACACTTTTCACCCAATAGTGGTTCATCAACGTCTCTGTACAAACTGTGAAGCCCGGTTCCAGGACACCTGCACGATTGGGAGACATAAGAACAAGCTCGGGAGAGAGATCATTGAGGCATACAAGATAGCCCATGACGATCACAACATCGCTGCCCCTTCTCTGGCCTTGTCCAGAAATGAGATCAACTACCTGAAACCAGAGCTGGATTAGCCAAAGGGCGCTCTATCTCAATTTGGCAATAGTGTTTTTCCTTTTCTTTTTTCTTTCTTTCTGAATTCTTTATCTTTAGTGTATTGGGTGTAAATTTGTGTGGTTTTTCTCCGGGTGTATATGAATATATTAATTCCGCATCTTCCTCTTTAGTCTCAAACGTTAGGAAGAAGATAGCACTATTGAAGGAGACACCAGTAAATGTGTGTTGCTAGTTGAAAGAACTGTGCTGTCTGTCCTTGTCCTTAAGTGTTTTTATTCTTTCTTTGACTCCCGTGGCACCTGTCCTGTGTGTTTCTCCAACTTTGTCCTGTATAATTTGCTTTTTTTTTTATTTGTGGTATTTTACTGCAACTAGTTGTGTTGAATCGACATCCATTCACTTTCATTTTAATCCTTTAACCTATCCTCCTGTTTCTTTTTTTAATTTTTTTATTGCAGATTTGTAATGACGCACTTGCAGCCACCTCATTGCCATCTTCAGTTGTCACCAAACGACAAACGTCGAAACATGAAGTCGTGAGCATCCGCAGAAGGGGACAGGCGACAGACAAGTGTTGTCAGGTGGAGCTGCATGGTGTTGATGTTGCTGTTCAGACGGAACCATTGAAGACGACGGGTGCTTATTGCTTCCGCTTACTCACGCTATTGATCCTGTTGACCATTGTGGAAGTTCAGGACAGAAACACATGGATGCATTCAGTCTAACTCCCAACAGAGTGCTTGGAAATTCCAGCTGCAAAAAGTTGTATCCTCCTGTTTTTAGTTTCAAAGGGGCTCTTTGAGGTCAAGGCATGACCCAAGTAACGTCCCGAGTCGAGTTTAGTGTAAGCATGTTTTTACATAACAAGCAAAGTCTCGTAATATTCCACGTTTGAACAAAGGAAAAGGCGCTTCACTCTGAAAACTAGAAACAAAACCTGTCATACTCTCTTTGTCCCGATGTTCCACAATTGGATATACTAATGCTAAGTGGAAGTGTTAGAAAGATCCTTGAATTTCACTGTATTTCACTGTGGATAACGTGGGTTCACCAGTGGGAGATACAAATGTAGGGGCAATTGTGCCGAAAGACATGGGCCTCTTATAATCTAGCTTGGCATTGGTTATTGAAGCCCTCGTCATGTACTAGCATAACAGCTGTTGAGGTACACTTTCAGAAAGGAGGCCGTAGATGCACTAAGAGAGATACTGCTCCTCAAGATAAACATGTCTGCAACTGATATTGAATTACATACCTGCAATTTTTCAATTTGGTGAGCCACGGGTTTTTATTACAGCCAGGGATGGTGCCATGCGATGCAGTGGTGGGCATTGCTCGGCTGAATTTTGTTCTCATGCCTTTGTGTGTTGCATAGTGTAAGCTGCCAGGTAAAATACTTGTTGGAGACACAATTCGGCTATGTTTGAGGTTTACCTTCACACTTAAACTATCCTTACAGCCGATTTGACTTTATCCGACTGTGTGAGTGGCATTGAGTGCATGCTTTTCCCTTTGCTCAAGTCTTGGGTTGTGGTGCGAGATTGGAGAGTATGATAGGGGGGCATTGTGCCCAATGGGATGAAGGTAACTGCTTCTGTTACCCCTTCGCTCAAAGTGACATTCCCCACAAGAATGCAGACATCTGTCCGGTTTATAGTGTTGGTTCTAACACTGCTTGCTGCAGTGACATAATGCTTCCTTCTGTGTTCAACAGGTGTGCAGGCACCACCAGTGCAGTGCAGGTAAGTTTTGCCTTGTCTGTCTCTTACCACTCATTCTATGCGCTTGGTTTTAGTTTGGATGAAAATGCAGTTGCCAGGTACGGTCGTGAAGCTGGGTCTTGCACCTGTTGGGACAGGGTGGGAGCGTGGTCTCTGGCTGTTCTTTTTCTAGCTAAAACCCCTTCTACAGATTTTGAACGTACCAGAGTAGGTGGACGCCTGTACTGCTGGTGGACTTTATGGCATAGCAAAGATTTCTTTGTATTGGGAGAGGGCGGTGTGCTTGCCCTTCTTGCATCCTTCCAGTTGGCAAGTGTTACCTGTATGATTAGGTAAATGAGTTTGACTCTGATCATTGAACTGTGTGGCGGCTTGTGTTACCTAGTTGCTATGGGATTAAAAACAAAACAAAAAAAAATAAAGTAGGTGTGGGAAAGGAGTGTGCGAGCAGAAATGGAAAGGGATGCTGTTCTGTAACGTGGGGTGTGAAAACGAAAGAGGGACATGGAAGACAATGCAGACGACGCTGGCTTTCCTGTCTTTTCCTAATTCAACCAAGAAATTAGTAAATATTTTTTGTTCAAATTGTTGGTATTGCTGGCTCTTCTGTTGTTGCATGTTCGTGGCGCGGCCGTAGCTATAGCTCCAAACCCAGCAAATGAAACTTTGAAAATTAGTCACCACGTGAGCGGCTCGCGCTCCCGCGCTGCGGCTTCCCTGCAACAACAACAAACGGAGGCGAGGGGGCACGGGCCAACGGGCATGCATCTGCACAGCTTTCCCGTGCGCCTCGTGTGCGGCATTTTGGTGTTTTAAAAAAAAAATCGTCCATTCCATATGTTATCTTGGCAGAACCGAAGACGAATCTTGCGAGCGCCTGCACAGTCAAAACTGCGTCGTGGACGAGCACTGTTTGACGCAGCTCCTCGAAAGGTGTCCAGTGTGTTGTTACAAGTCGGAGGTGGAGGTCACCGTGGTAGGTGCCCTCGTGAAGGCCACCATCTTCTGCCCCTGGAGGAAGCACGTCTCCTACTGGTGCAGCCAACCGCTTGAAAGGTCCCCGACGGGCTGCAGGCCCCCCGACGTCGATGACGCGCCTCCAGCTATCCCAAGAAAAAGCGAGCCATCTGAAGTCCCGGAACTGAAATAACTAAAGCAATACTCAGGATTTTTTTCTTTTTTTTTTTTCTTTTTATGAAACATGATGTTAGGTTGTTCCAGCGGCAGCGTTCTTGTCTGGAGCTAGGTGGGCAGACCTCACCTCGAGTAGCCGCGTAGAGGGTCCGCAGGGCGTCCAGAAAGTTCCCTTTTTGACTTGTAAAACCTGCTCTATAATTCTGTTTGTACATAAAAGTTATTTATTCCCCATCATCTACCGACTCGACCTCACCATCGTCAGCGAAGTCACAGGACCACCATCAACAATTACTCGAAGGTTCGCTCCTATTTCTGACAAAATCCGCGAGATGGCGCAGCATGACAGGAGCTTGCGCCTGCGCGCTGAGCCCCAACCCGACAGTACCCCGGGCTGGAGCCCGAGTGGAATTTCGACCCCTTTTGTGACCTCGTTGTGACACACCTCTCTTCTCCCACCGTGGTCACGGGTCAGAAGACATGCCAGGAACTATTTTCTGCTTCCTCGGTGCTCTAACCCTGAAAGCTATACTTTGTTTCAGCTTAAGTTCAGACGCAGCCGATGCTACGAGCGCGAGGATGTGGCCCTGAGCACCCCGAGCTGTGCCATAGCCTCCTCTTTACTCGCAAAGCCTGGCAGTTCGACGACAGAGCCACAGAGTGCCCGGTCGCAGAGTTGAGCGCGAGGGTCTGGTAGCACAGAGCATCAAATAGCGCATTAAAACTTTGGTTTGGGCTAGTTGGTCCATGGTAGTTATAAGGTTTAAAAGCGCAGACAGGGACAATAGAAAATGACACAAACGACAGGGACAAGGCGCTTGATGAAAGAGGAAAGGGCCCATAGTAGAAGAAATATGACTCATTAAAACTTTGGTTTGAGCTATGATATTGTAGTGAGTGCGCAGGCGAGCTGGTGGAAATTAACCATTCTGATGTTAGCCTGAGACTGAGGCAGGAAAAGAGGAAGTTTCAAAGTAGAAGAAAAAAGGAACAGTCGAGGATACGTCTCTAACACAGCTAAAGACAAGTTTATTCGGTCACCCTCTTATATACACTCCACAATCTTCACCACAGAACCTTCGCGACCTCTTTGTTATCTTTTGGCTTTGGAGGTCGCGAAGGTTCTGTGGTGAAGATTGTGGAGTGTATATAAGAGGGTGACCGAATAAACTTGTCTTTAGCTGTGTTAGAGACGTATCCTCGACTGTTCCTTTTTTCTTCTACTTTGAAACTTCCTCTTTTCCTGCCTCAGTCTCAGGCTAACATCAGAATGGTTTGAGCTAGTTGGTCCATGGTAGGTATGAGGTTTAAAAGCGCCAACAGACAGGGACAAGCGCCTTGTCCCTGTCCTTTGTGTCATTTTCTATTGTCCCTCTCTGTTTGCGCTTTTAAACCTTATACCTACCATCAAATAGCCATTTCTTGGGGAGTCTAAAGCCCCTTCATGCTTTAAAAGTAGCGCAAGGTGCGTCGATGCACGAGACACGTACGACATGCAGCCCTTGGTAAGATCATGGCGGCACAGCGCAGCACTGAGCTAGATTTCAGATGCCATGAATGTCCCAGAAGTGGTGCGCGGCACGTGCCTCGAGCATTTCCACAGCAATGAATGGCGCTACTTTTCCCAGGACAAAGGGGCTTTAGGGGAACCTGGACGTTAGCGCACAGTTTTTGCAGCGGCGAGGACCCCAAACAGGGTTTACAAACCCGACGAGAAACGAAGCGGTAGCCCGAGAGGAACGCGAGAAGCTCGAGCGGACATTCCATCGCTCGGCACAAGTGTGTTTCGGCGTCTCGCCGCAGCGAGGCGCCCGTCACGTGGCTCTCCTCTCATCCGTTGCCTGCCGCGCACGTCACATCGCACACTTTTGAACACCAAGTAAGAGGAGGAGAGGGAAGCTGCTTTTGTAAGAATTTTGAGTGACAGGTTAATCTTCTATAATCTTCTGGGGGGAGAATAGCGACGCCTGTACAAATCCGGGAGGTACAAAGGACGGTCCTTATAAGAGGGGAGCTCCTTCTTCCCCTCTTCTCTGGAGGGCAACGGAAATGACGTCCTGTGCAAGGAGCCTATACCTTTTCGATTTCGGCGGCCGCTTCTTGTGGAGATCTGCCAGGCTTTGTCAGTATAGAGGGGGCTATGGCTGTGCTTGCACTGCACGGGCGCGCGTGCTTGGCAGGGACGCGTTGAAAGCCCGGAGCTCGCGCGTGTATCGGCTGCGTGTAGCGGAAACTAAGTTTAGTTGCTCTCGCAGAGGTGCGGGACCTGTGGAAACTACAGCTTGAAGAAGTCGCAGAAAATAAATTTTTATTTATTCTCAGCTCTATCACATCTGTAATTCTGACAAAGGCGCGAGCGCGTGGTTTATTGTGCACCACGATGTAAGATGCTGTTGTGCTGTGCAACGCCCAGAATAAAGCTCTTATCAAATGCGCGCTCCGTAATTTTCTTGCAAACAGTTACTTTTGTTTTTGTGGAGCGCCGGTTGCTGCGAAGGCTAGCTATCGAAGCCAATCAATGTCCGTGCGAGTTTTCCGTGACCTTCGAGAGGAGGCGCCCGACGCGCCGTGAGCAGTCGCATGCTACATCAAGGAGGTTAGAAGTACTAGGAGGGGGCAGGTTGCAATATTGGTGAAGCCTAGTCATAAAAAGTTTAAACGATTTTGTGCCCAGCGCGACCGCAGATCTCTCTGGCGATTGGTGCGCGTGACATGTCACGTGTAAAATGGATGGTTGATTGTAGGAAGACTCCTTGCAGGCTTGCACGCGCTCCGTCCGGTAGGTTTTATCAGGTCGAAGTCTAGACTGTGGTGTATTCTAGTACCCCACAGCAAGACGAAGTCTAGCTACGGTCACGTGATGTGGTCACGTTGGCATGGTAAGTGAGGAGAGTAAGGAGGAAAATGAGAAAGAGGCGAGGCGTCAAGGGAGCATGGCTTGTGGAGGCTACGCGGCCGACGTCATGCCCTCTCCTACCCTTTTATTCTCCATGTGCTACATTCATGGAGCTGGATTGGCTTGGATGGCTCAGCATCCGCTGCGGCCGGATGTAAGGTGAAATGGAGTAGAAAAGTCGGGCCTCAGCCTGTCGCCCCGGGTACAGTGCAGCGCTGATTTTATAGTCGCTTTTGACGAATTAGGAGTACTAACGGTGAGCATCGGACCTGTACAAGCCTATGAATATACATTTAAGTGCCAAAAAACAAGGACAGAGTGAAGAACAAAAACAATACAAGGCGGGTGTATGCGGAGTGCAAGCTTCGTCTGCTTTTCTTGCAGGGCTGTGACGTCAGAACGCTGAGCTCTGGTTGTCTCTGATTGAAGGATAGTGGATAGACCTCAAGGCAGCTTGAGCTCTACCCACTATCCTTTAGTCTGAGCTAATCGGAGCTCGGTGTCTTCCTGGTGTCCAACACAACCCCTGCCAAAAAAAAGCAGACGAACTTGCGCTTGCAATCTTCATTTTCACTGTCTTTTTTTTTTTTTTTTTGCGCTTAAATGTATTTAATGAACCGACTAGCCAAACTCACCAAGTTGCTGTACGAAATAATTAAAAAAAAAAAAAAAAAAAGTAAGAAAAAAAAGTTCAGTTACTTTTTTTTTAAGACATAAGGTGCTGTGTTCATGAACTGATCCGCGAAAACAAGCACGTAAAAAAAGTTCGATAAAAGAGAAACACCCGTGGCGCGAAGACGACACAACGATCAGAAAGCAGAGGTGTGCGAATGGTGGTTCGAATCGAAGAATGCAGCGTCATCGATGGCCTTCACAGTGCAAAGAAAAAGCCCACAGCGCAGACCACGGCGCGCTGACCAATCGGTAGCGGACGGCAAACTCTCTCCGCCCAACTCCCCGATATCGAGCCACAATCGAGCCATCGCCGGACCGACGTCAGTGTCGTGTGTTTGCGAATCTTTCTCGTCTCTTCGGAGCGTTTTGTTGTCGTTTTCTCCGGGTTACAAAATCTCGTTAGTTGCCATGGCCCACGCAGAGAGCGGTGAAGTCTGCGCGAGCGGCGGCGAATCTGGCGTGACAGGAGGACACGAGAAAGAAGACGAACAGGTAAGCGGCGAAACCATCGCAAACATCTGCAGGGTTGACAAATGACAAAACGGAAGGCCCGAGCGCGTGCGTGGCTTTTGCGGAAGGTGCTGTTTCTGCGTCCGATCTCGTTACAATCGACACATTTTGCTGAGCTATATAGGCCCATGCACCTGCGCCTTTTGTCCGCACCATGCATGTCCGAGTCGCGTTTCTTCCGTCTCCAACGGTAACATATTGGTCGTACTGTACAGACAAGCACACGGACGTATGAATATGCTTCGAACATCCGCAGATAATTGTGCCATCATTCGTCTGCTTCTTTTGCTGTTCGTCTGCTTCGTTTGCAGTTCGTCTGCTTCTTTTGCAGTTCGTCTGCTTCTTTTGCAGTTCGTATGCTTCTTGTGCAGTTCGTCTGCTGCAACGTTGGTCTGCTGCTTGTGCAGTTCGTCTGCTGCTTTTGCAGTTCGTCTGCTTCTTTTGCAAGGGTTGTGGTGACGTCAGATGGACGTCGAGCTCTGATTGGCTTTGATTGAAGCATAGTGGGTAGAGGCTCAAGGCATCCTGCCATCAGGGCTCGGCGTTCTGACGTCGCCACAACCCCCTGCAAAAGAAGCAGACGAACTTGCGCCCCGCGCAATTACCACCATTGATCAACATGCATTGTGCAGTCACCGACAAAATGAGAACGACAGGGCGTGTTTTTCAAACGCCCGGCCTAACACTATAATTTTTAAGTGAGATAACGATTATCTCTAAAACTCAGCATCTGGTCCGGACCAACAGCGTTACATTTAGACGGAAACTGAGCGTTCGGTGATGCGTAGTTAATTTTTGCGAAAATAAAGACTTCTTATTACCTTTGGTTTTATCTTTTTGGGTGCGGGATATGTCTGCACGAGTTGTTCAACCCCGAGGAACTACAGGTTCAGCTCACTCGTATACAGCGAGATCGATATTGATCAAGGTGTTTTCACCAGATTCAGCTCGCAGTTTTGGCGCCACTTTTATTTGATCTTTGTGATCAGCGAAAACTAAACCACACCTAAAATGCTTTTCCTTTTTTATTCTTTTTTTGGTTTGCAGAGTTTGCACGAAGGCTCGGAACTTGAAACGGAGTTCAAGTATCCGCAGGTCGTCGGGCGTGAGAAACTACGCTTTCTCCAGAAGAGACAGAAAAAAGGGGTGAGCAACAAATTGATTTCCCTCAGCCTCGCTTCGGAGTAAAGACGACCACCTTGCGCTCACAATCATTGTTTCCAGTTAGAGCTCAAATGTTAAGAGCCTAAGCTTCCTTACATCGCGAAACACCAAAATGGCGGCTCCCACACGAAAATTTGGAACGGGAGTGTTGATACCCTCGGTGTATCTTCTTTGGGGAGCTCTGGATCATGAACAGAAAGAAAAATGATATGGATTTCTTTAATATATATCTTATATTTTTATGGGTCGCATGGTATAGCAGAGTTTGGAAAGCGCTGCGGTACTCTATTCTCAGCGCTGTTCTTTTGTGTGCAAGCGCAGCAGCAGAGGTACTTCGACTCCGCGGACTACAACATGGCCAGGGCCAGGGCCCACGTGACCACCCCCCGGGACTTTCCAGCCGTCCCGCAGAACGACACGGGAGAGGCCATACCCACCGTGGAGTCGCTGCCCCCGCGCAACGCTGCCATCGAGCAGAGCAAGCTGGCCACCCTGACTCTTTTCTAAAAACTGCCGAGAAGGCGCATCCATTCTTTATGTCTCTTTTTTAAAAAAAAACTTTTTTGAAACAATTTGTGTTGGTTTTATGTGCATTTCGGGTGATACCCTGTGTCAGCAGAACTTGGCACCAAGGCGGGCATCTCGACAGAAGCGTCGGAACTATTCGGAGATTAAGGGAAGGGGGGGAGGGGGGGGGGATTTTCCCCCTCATTCGTGTTGTTTATTCAAAGTTGTTTTAAATGTCTAGGCTACTGCACCACGGCCATTCAGAGGGACAGCCGGAGTATATGCGACAGTTGTCACGTGCCGCGCTTAGAGAGCTCCGATTGGCTCGCTAGGGCGAAACGTTATTCTTTTAAAGGTATGGCGCTTTTTTTTTTATTATTATATTTTTATTAGTTGGGTGTTGTTCGAGTATTTCTTGTAAATAAAGATCGTTGACTGTACGACTCTGGAGTGGCTTCAAATGGGGACAGAAGACAGATGGGCAAAGCTATGATAATCGGACAATATAATAATAATAATAATCTTTATTTTTCGGGTGCCCTAAAACGGCCGAGCGGCCTTCTCTTAGGTACACTGGGTACACCAACTCGTACATTAGACACAATATACATATATATGTATATTGTGTCTAATGAAGCACGCGTATTGCATTTTAGCACGGCGTCTTCTGAGTATTCGAAAATATTAATCTACATGCATATTTATAACGGCCTCAAATATTTTGGGTACGTTATATTGCTTTCTGACGGGTTAATTTTGATGCCCAATTTTAAAAATCAAACTAAAAAAGAAAAACTTTTTTTTTTTAGATTAACACGATTGATGTTTTGTAAAAAAACGTTGCAATTGCGTTCGCTTAGACCAGGCGTTGTATAGATAACTCTTTCTAACGCCTCAGGAAGAAAGCTTTTACGACGACGAGGTCAAAGTCGCGAAGATACTACTCAAATACGTTAACAGTTTCAAAGTCGTCGAACCATGGTAGGAAGAACTTAAACGGGAACCGAATGAAAATCTCAAAGAACCTTATACCCTCTAAAAATTCAGTGCGTCTCCATTCTCGAAGAGCATGTGGCTGAAATCGCTGAAATCTATGGAGGAAGCTCGGCCAATAGCAACGCTATACAATAGTGAACAGAACAGCGCACAAAAAGGCAAGGACAGAGAAGGAACATGCACAACAAACTTACAACACTTCTGCAAATTACAACACTTTTGCAACGCTACAAATATCTGTAGCCAAAAAAATAAATAAGAACGATAGTCTGCTTTGTGGCACTGAACATGATTTCTTCGAATGGTTTCTTGGCAAAACGTCGTGGGTTGCCTCTTTTAACTTTTAAAGAAGCCGAGACTTGGCAAAACGACGAACGTTCGAGGCGGAAGGTTAAATTGCACATAGGGATCCCGTCGAACAACTATACCGATGTAAAAGTGGCTGTCTAAAAACGGGGCCCCGGAAAGTGCCTCCTCCACTGGGAGCAGGCGCGGACATCCTGATCGGAGAGTTCACACGGTCCTCTCTGTGGTCTGCCCCTCCCCGCCATCGTCACCAAACACCCCCCCCCCCCCTCCCCCCGCCTATCATCGCGTCGCCGTCGCAGTCAATAGCCGTATCCAGTTGCTGCAGCACGCGGTGACCGGAGCCAACTCGTCTCCGATTTGATATCTGACGGACATCAGCGTGCCGACGACGTCAGTCGCATTACTTCGTGGTGACGACTCGCAATGTTGCGTTCTTGACGACTGTCCGGTAGCTAGTCACCTTTTGTTGTTTTTTTCTGCACCAGAGTTTGGGTATGAGCGGCGCTGTGCTCTCAGCTACTGCGTCGAACATTGCTGAACCAAATTCCAGAAGCAAGAATTCGAAAGAAGATGCATCAAGTGGATGACGCTTGCGGACTCTGCTGCCAGTTAATGCACCTTGCTGAACCAAATCATCGGTGGTCCTTTGGTGTGCTGAGTGAGGCATAGACATCCTGGACATCGCGTTAGAGGTAATGATGTGTCCTTGGCGTTCTACACAGACTTCTCTTAGGATTTAGCCCTATTCTAGCAAAAGGTCCAATAATGGCTTATTAGCCATGAAGACTGTCTGGAAGAGCTCTTCTGAATACTGGAAACCGTAACGCGTAATTCCCTTGATGTTTCTTTTATAACTTCGGTTGACCATTAGGAAGCTTTATTAGGTACATTGTACTCAGCTTGTCCAATGACACCAGAACATAGCATGACCATGTAACTGCTCCTGGACCTGTATGCGCCTTCTGCTAATCGAAAAGTCCCCTGCAAGAGGAAGCCTTTCTGCAACATATCTTCAGTAAAGAAGTCGATCTGCTGTGGGCGCTTGTCGCCGACAATGGAGGGCAACCTGGTGGTTTTCGCCGGCGTGTTTGTGATCCTTGTGGCCATTCTGGGCATCCTGGGCAACCTGCTCACCATCGTAGCTCTGGCGCGGTCCCAGCGCTTCCGGAACGCGTCGGCAGCCTTCATTGTGAGCCTGTCTGCGGCCGACCTCTGCTTCTGCGCCTTTAACTTGCCCTTTGCGGCATCCCGTTTTCTCAACGGCCTCTGGCTTCACGGAGAGACGCTCTGCTGCCTGGTTGCGGCGGGAAGGTACTTCAATGTCGGTATTTCGCTGCTCTCCATCACGGCCATCACTGTCAACAGGTATGTTGGAGCCTTGCTTCGTGCTAGGGCACTTAAGGAGTTTAGCTTTATGAATTGCTCCTTGTTTTACTGACTACAGTAGTATGTAATTAGTACATAATTGAACAAACGGCAATTACTAATCGACTTAGCTAATTAACTAAGTACTCCATGGTCTTAAACGATTCCCATGGTCCCTTAGCCTATGACCTCGTCCCTCGCTGTGACGTCAGTGTGTTTCCCACGGGCATTGGGTAGCGAATTTCGAATGTGAGTCGTCTTCAAGTCATCTATAGTCACATGATACTGAGAGACTTGATTGGAAAATAATTTAATTTGAGTAAATAAATATGTCTGAAAATGCCTTTAGTGTGTTCTTTAAACATTGCAGACGCGCCATTCAATGCAAGCGTTTGCTTGATCGGGCAAATATAATCTCGTAAAGTAGTTAAAAAAAATAGTGCATTGCCTCACACCCTCAAGCAGAAGGTTCTCGGCTACGAGCAATATCGGTTTTCTTTTTTATTTATCAAAATAAAACACGTCACTAAACACCATGAACATGTCAGATCTGACTAGACAACAGAAATAAAACGTATCCAGTGTACTTTGTCAACACGCTCGTTATCAATATAGTCAGACCTTGTTCCGAAGTCCCAAATTCTTTTTGAATGACCGAGCAGGTGTAGCAGCTTGTCATTCAAATGCTGGGCTGTCGACGAGAATTTTCTTGTGCATTCTTAAAGCTGTACACTCCACAAGACAAACGGGCTCCGACATACAAACAGTAGAGGCCACAAGTTACTGATGTTGAGCCTATTTGAACAGTTTTCTTGCTGTTGTAGAATCTTCGGACATTTCCAATAAACTGGTAAAATTCCTTGTAGAGATGGAAGCATCCCAAAACTAGCAAGGAAGCTTATGTTCCTATTTTTAGGATAAATTAAAAAAAAAAAAAAAAATGAACCCCAATACTCACTTTTCGGTTTTTTGAGAGCAGTATTGACAATATTGAGTCCAGACTCGAGACTGCTTTCTCGCCAAAATAGCGAATAGAATTCAAACTCTTTCATCACGAAACAAACTTAACTTTACGGTCTTCGTTAATTTGTAATATTCTCGGCGTCTTAGACACAAATATTACGGTTATAGCTTTATTTAAATTATCCTTAAAAGTGGAGGTCAGTCTTATATTAGCGGTTAAAACAGGACATAAGCGGCGTTGCTCTCTTTCCGGAGTCGGAGTGTAATACAAAAGAAACTGAACATGATTGCAAACCTGAGACTGGGGCAGGAAGAGAACACAACAGAAGGTAGTAAAAGAGGAGGCAACGTTTGAGACCTTGCCTCCTCTTTTACTACCTTCTGCTGTGTTCTCTTCCTGCCCCAGTCTCAGGTTTACAATCATGTTCAACTTACACCAGCTCGCCTGCACTCTGTCTATTTTTTGTTAATCGTACCTGAAGCAGGCTTAATCCCTTTTTCCTATGAATCCATCCTTCCTTCGTCGCCTTCTATTGAGACGTTGCCTCCTCTTTTACTACCTTCTGTTGTGTTCTCTTCCTGCCCCAGTCTCAGGTTTACAATCATGTTCAACTTACACCAGCTCGCCTGCACTCTGTCTATTTTTTGTTAATCGTACCTGAAGCAGGCTTAATCCCTTTTTCCTATGAATCCATCCTTCCTTCGTCGCCTTCTATTGAGACGTTGCCTCCTCTTTTACTACCTTCTGTTGTGTTCTCTTCCTGCCCCAGTCTCAGGTTTACAATCATGTTCAACTTACACCAGCTCGCCTGCACTCTGTCTATTTTTTGTTAATCGTACCTGAAGCAGGCTTAATCCCTTTTTCCTATGAATCCATCCTTCCTTCGTCGCCTTCTATTGAGACGTTGCCTCCTCTTTTACTACCTTCTGTTGTGTTCTCTTCCTGCTCCAGTCTCAGGTTTACAATCATGTTCAACTTACACCAGCTCGCCTGCACTCTGTCTATTTTTTGTTAATCGTACCTGAAGCAGGCTTAATCCCTTTTTCCTATGAATCCATCCTTCCTTCGTCGCCTTCTATTGAGACGTTGCCTCCTCTTTTACTACCTTCTGTTGTGTTCTCTTCCTGCCCCAGTCTCAGGTTTACAATCATGTTCAACTTACACCAGCTCGCCTGCACTCTGTCTATTTTTTGTTAATCGTACCTGAAGCAGGCTTAATCCCTTTTTCCTATGAATCCATCCTTCCTTCGTCGCCTTCTATTGAGACGTTGCCTCCTCTTTTACTACCTTCTGTTGTGTTCTCTTCCTGCCCCAGTCTCAGGTTTACAATCATGTTCAACTTACACCAGCTCGCCTGCACTCTGTCTATTTTTTGTTAATCGTACCTGAAGCAGGCTTAATCCCTTTTTCCTATGAATCCATCCTTCCTTCGTCGCCTTCTATTGAGACGTTGCCTCCTCTTTTACTACCTTCTGTTGTGTTCTCTTCCTGCCCCAGTCTCAGGTTTACAATCATGTTCAACTTACACCAGCTCGCCTGCACTCTGTCTATTTTTTGTTAATCGTACCTGAAGCAGGCTTAATCCCTTTTTCCTATGAATCCATCCTTCCTTCGTCGCCTTCTATTGAGACGTTGCCTCCTCTTTTACTACCTTCTGTTGTGTTCTCTTCCTGCCCCAGTCTCAGGTTTACAATCATGTTCAACTTACACCAGCTCGCCTGCACTCTGTCTATTTTTTGTTAATCGTACCTGAAGCAGGCTTAATCCCTTTTTCCTATGAATCCATCCTTCCTTCGTCGCCTTCTATTGAGACGTTGCCTCCTCTTTTACTACCTTCTGTTGTGTTCTCTTCCTGCTCCAGTCTCAGGTTTACAATCATGTTCAACTTACACCAGCTCGCCTGCACTCTGTCTATTTTTTGTTAATCGTACCTGAAGCAGGCTTAATCCCTTTTTCCTATGAATCCATCCTTCCTTCGTCGCCTTCTATTGAGACGTTGCCTCCTCTTTTACTACCTTCTGTTGTGTTCTCTTCCTGCCCCAGTCTCAGGTTTACAATCATGTTCAACTTACACCAGCTCGCCTGCACTCTGTCTATTTTTTGTTAATCGTACCTGAAGCAGGCTTAATCCCTTTTTCCTATGAATCCATCCTTCCTTCGTCGCCTTCTATTGAGACGTTGCCTCCTCTTTTACTACCTTCTGTTGTGTTCTCTTCCTGCCCCAGTCTCAGGTTTACAATCATGTTCAACTTACACCAGCTCGCCTGCACTCTGTCTATTTTTTGTTAATCGTACCTGAAGCAGGCTTAATCCCTTTTTCCTATGAATCCATCCTTCCTTCGTCGCCTTCTATTGAGACGTTGCCTCCTCTTTTACTACCTTCTGTTGTGTTCTCTTCCTGCCCCAGTCTCAGGTTTACAATCATGTTCAACTTACACCAGCTCGCCTGCACTCTGTCTATTTTTTGTTAATCGTACCTGAAGCAGGCTTAATCCCTTTTTCCTATGAATCCATCCTTCCTTCGTCGCCTTCTATTGAGACGTTGCCTCCTCTTTTACTACCTTCTGTTGTGTTCTCTTCCTGCCCCAGTCTCAGGTTTACAATCATGTTCAACTTACACCAGCTCGCCTGCACTCTGTCTATTTTTTGTTAATCGTACCTGAAGCAGGCTTAATCCCTTTTTCCTATGAATCCATCCTTCCTTCGTCGCCTTCTATTGAGACGTTGCCTCCTCTTTTACTACCTTCTGTTGTGTTCTCTTCCTGCTCCAGTCTCAGGTTTACAATCATGTTCAACTTACACCAGCTCGCCTGCACTCTGTCTATTTTTTGTTAATCGTACCTGAAGCAGGCTTAATCCCTTTTTCCTATGAATCCATCCTTCCTTCGTCGCCTTCTATTGAGACGTTGCCTCCTCTTTTACTACCTTCTGTTGTGTTCTCTTCCTGCCCCAGTCTCAGGTTTACAATCATGTTCAACTTACACCAGCTCGCCTGCACTCTGTCTATTTTTTGTTAATCGTACCTGAAGCAGGCTTAATCCCTTTTTCCTATGAATCCATCCTTCCTTCGTCGCCTTCTATTGAGACGTTGCCTCCTCTTTTACTACCTTCTGTTGTGTTCTCTTCCTGCCCCAGTCTCAGGTTTACAATCATGTTCAACTTACACCAGCTCGCCTGCACTCTGTCTATTTTTTGTTAATCGTACCTGAAGCAGGCTTAATCCCTTTTTCCTATGAATCCATCCTTCCTTCGTCGCCTTCTATTGAGACGTTGCCTCCTCTTTTACTACCTTCTGTTGTGTTCTCTTCCTGCCCCAGTCTCAGGTTTACAATCATGTTCAACTTACACCAGCTCGCCTGCACTCTGTCTATTTTTTGTTAATCGTACCTGAAGCAGGCTTAATCCCTTTTTCCTATGAATCCATCCTTCCTTCGTCGCCTTCTATTGAGACGTTGCCTCCTCTTTTACTACCTTCTGTTGTGTTCTCTTCCTGCTCCAGTCTCAGGTTTACAATCATGTTCAACTTACACCAGCTCGCCTGCACTCTGTCTATTTTTTGTTAATCGTACCTGAAGCAGGCTTAATCCCTTTTTCCTATGAATCCATCCTTCCTTCGTCGCCTTCTATTGAGACGTTGCCTCCTCTTTTACTACCTTCTGTTGTGTTCTCTTCCTGCCCCAGTCTCAGGTTTACAATCATGTTCAACTTACACCAGCTCGCCTGCACTCTGTCTATTTTTTGTTAATCGTACCTGAAGCAGGCTTAATCCCTTTTTCCTATGAATCCATCCTTCCTTCGTCGCCTTCTATTGAGACGTTGCCTCCTCTTTTACTACCTTCTGTTGTGTTCTCTTCCTGCCCCAGTCTCAGGTTTACAATCATGTTCAACTTACACCAGCTCGCCTGCACTCTGTCTATTTTTTGTTAATCGTACCTGAAGCAGGCTTAATCCCTTTTTCCTATGAATCCATCCTTCCTTCGTCGCCTTCTATTGAGACGTTGCCTCCTCTTTTACTACCTTCTGTTGTGTTCTCTTCCTGCCCCAGTCTCAGGTTTACAATCATGTTCAACTTACACCAGCTCGCCTGCACTCTGTCTATTTTTTGTTAATCGTACCTGAAGCAGGCTTAATCCCTTTTTCCTATGAATCCATCCTTCCTTCGTCGCCTTCTATTGAGACGTTGCCTCCTCTTTTACTACCTTCTGTTGTGTTCTCTTCCTGCTCCAGTCTCAGGTTTACAATCATGTTCAACTTACACCAGCTCGCCTGCACTCTGTCTATTTTTTGTTAATCGTACCTGAAGCAGGCTTAATCCCTTTTTCCTATGAATCCATCCTTCCTTCGTCGCCTTCTATTGAGACGTTGCCTCCTCTTTTACTACCTTCTGTTGTGTTCTCTTCCTGCCCCAGTCTCAGGTTTACAATCATGTTCAACTTACACCAGCTCGCCTGCACTCTGTCTATTTTTTGTTAATCGTACCTGAAGCAGGCTTAATCCCTTTTTCCTATGAATCCATCCTTCCTTCGTCGCCTTCTATTGAGACGTTGCCTCCTCTTTTACTACCTTCTGTTGTGTTCTCTTCCTGCCCCAGTCTCAGGTTTACAATCATGTTCAACTTACACCAGCTCGCCTGCACTCTGTCTATTTTTTGTTAATCGTACCTGAAGCAGGCTTAATCCCTTTTTCCTATGAATCCATCCTTCCTTCGTCGCCTTCTATTGAGACGTTGCCTCCTCTTTTACTACCTTCTGTTGTGTTCTCTTCCTGCCCCAGTCTCAGGTTTACAATCATGTTCAACTTACACCAGCTCGCCTGCACTCTGTCTATTTTTTGTTAATCGTACCTGAAGCAGGCTTAATCCCTTTTTCCTATGAATCCATCCTTCCTTCGTCGCCTTCTATTGAGACGTTGCCTCCTCTTTTACTACCTTCTGTTGTGTTCTCTTCCTGCTCCAGTCTCAGGTTTACAATCATGTTCAACTTACACCAGCTCGCCTGCACTCTGTCTATTTTTTGTTAATCGTACCTGAAGCAGGCTTAATCCCTTTTTCCTATGAATCCATCCTTCCTTCGTCGCCTTCTATTGAGACGTTGCCTCCTCTTTTACTACCTTCTGTTGTGTTCTCTTCCTGCCCCAGTCTCAGGTTTACAATCATGTTCAACTTACACCAGCTCGCCTGCACTCTGTCTATTTTTTGTTAATCGTACCTGAAGCAGGCTTAATCCCTTTTTCCTATGAATCCATCCTTCCTTCGTCGCCTTCTATTGAGACGTTGCCTCCTCTTTTACTACCTTCTGTTGTGTTCTCTTCCTGCCCCAGTCTCAGGTTTACAATCATGTTCAACTTACACCAGCTCGCCTGCACTCTGTCTATTTTTTGTTAATCGTACCTGAAGCAGGCTTAATCCCTTTTTCCTATGAATCCATCCTTCCTTCGTCGCCTTCTATTGAGACGTTGCCTCCTCTTTTACTACCTTCTGTTGTGTTCTCTTCCTGCCCCAGTCTCAGGTTTACAATCATGTTCAACTTACACCAGCTCGCCTGCACTCTGTCTATTTTTTGTTAATCGTACCTGAAGCAGGCTTAATCCCTTTTTCCTATGAATCCATCCTTCCTTCGTCGCCTTCTATTGAGACGTTGCCTCCTCTTTTACTACCTTCTGTTGTGTTCTCTTCCTGCCCCAGTCTCAGGTTTACAATCATGTTCAACTTACACCAGCTCGCCTGCACTCTGTCTATTTTTTGTTAATCGTACCTGAAGCAGGCTTAATCCCTTTTTCCTATGAATCCATCCTTCCTTCGTCGCCTTCTATTGAGACGTTGCCTCCTCTTTTACTACCTTCTGTTGTGTTCTCTTCCTGCCCCAGTCTCAGGTTTACAATCATGTTCAACTTACACCAGCTCGCCTGCACTCTGTCTATTTTTTCGTAAAAAGAAACTAGTCTTTAGAAAATTCTCCCTTTGGAAAGAAAACATTTTTGTTTTTATTGAGTCGATGAAGGAAGCTCATATAGGCTTGCATGTAAAGGTCCCTTGAAAAATCAAAATCATCTCTCTTTTGAACGCCTCCCATGTCTAAAACACTTGTCTTTAGATTAAAGAGTTCAAATTTGAAGGGATCACGTTTGCGGCTTCCCCGGAAGGCTTCGTTCTTCACAAAGCATTCAATATCACTTTGCAAGGGACTGGGTGAGAGTAAAGATCATTGAATACAATGTGGGAAACCCCCGGAGAGACCGTTCTTGTTTTTATCTCGACTTAATTAAGTAATAATTAAATATAAAGGTCAATAGTTTGGAGTTCTTTTCTTCGCTTAGCCTCATTTGCGTGGAGGTTTCAAAGTCAAACCACGTCAAAAAGTGAGAAGGGGGCTGACCCGAATGTTCTTGGTAAATGGCTTTTTGACACGATCAAAATAAATTAGGTAAGCCTGCATGGCCCATTTGTATTACTTATTTTATTTATTTATTACCTACTGCAGGTCTTGATTAGGCCCTTGCAGGTGGAGAGTACAAATCCAAAACATGCACAGAAAAAACAACAATACATTTCAACCATCGTTTTACATAAGCATCACAGTAAGGGCAATGGCAATGATTGTCGCAATGAACAATAAAACGCTCGAACACAAAAATTTGACAAAAGACATAATGGAATGAATTAGGAATAGCGGTTATCGAGTGCTTTATTAAAGTCAGGGGGGATAAAAGTGTCATAGGGCAGTGTGTCCCAATAGATATAGTGCGCGGAAAGAAAATATTATTATAATGCAATTAAATGCAAAGGTGCAAGCGAGCTGGACAAGAAAGTGACGAAAACAATCCCTGGAGAAGGGGAACAAGAGGGACAAAGGACAAACACAAATCTCCTAGTTCGAGAAATATTGGCTGAAGGGGAAAACCCATGGTGGTTCCTAGTTTCCCTGGAAGATAATTAAGTATGCAGAGCTTGTTAAGATAAAGTAAATAGAAAAATCTTAATTTCGCAATCATTCTACGTTGTTCAAGATATATTATACTATTTGCAGACATCGACAAGGTTGGGGGCCTAACCTCAAACTTTCGCAAGTTATCAATTTATACAAACTAGCCTTCCGAGCATTGTTGCCCGCGAAGTGCTGAAGATACCTAGTCTTTTGGAGAATTGTTTTCTGTATGTTGCCGCGTTTGTCTACTTGGCCCTGTTCCGAGCATCCGCATTAACTCTTTTGTGCGAAAGATCAGACGTCGCGAGTGCGTTCACATCTCAGTGACTCAGCATTTTTCGCCTAGACGTTGAGCGATGGAAATATAGAAAACGCGGGTCGCGTCGGCTGAAGTACCAGAGCCCCGTGTCGCAGGTACGTGCTGATTGTGCGGCCAGGCTCTTACGAGCGGCTGTACAACCGGCGCAATATCGGCCTCACCATCGGCGCCACCTGGCTTGTGCCACTGGTGGTGCTCCTGCCCACGCTGGCGGGTGTCTGGGGCCGCTTCGGCCTGGACCAACGCGGCCTGAACTGCTCCATCGTGGCCGTCGGTGGACGCTCGGCCAAGGCCTTCCTTTTCGTCGTTGCCTTCCTGGTGCCCTGCCTGGCCATTGTCTTCTGCTACTTCCGAATCTTCTGGACGGCCAGACAGTCCAGGTACTCCTAGGTTTAATGATAACAGGACTAGTTCCGCCCACAAAGCCCTTCACTCTGTCCACTTCAGCAGAGCAAACACTGAAAAGGAGGCGAGTGGAGAGAAGGAAACCACCAATCCTGACGAGTGAAGATGTTTCTGAGTGGGGCTCGTCCTGTAATCCCTGCAACAGACTAGTGTAAAGTAGCGTGTTCTATTGGCACTAAGGTCAACGTGGACCTTACTTGCGCCACAGGCTCCAGCTGGAGTCTCACGGGGACGCTGCAAAGCGCCGACAGGACGAGTGGCGTCTCACCAGAATGGTGCTCATCATCTTCTGCTCCTTCGTAGCCTGCTACCTGCCGATCACCATCGTCAAGGTGACTCGATTCTTCTAGCTCTAAGCACAAGCGAGATGCGCAACCTTGTCGGTAGAGTCTGCAGAAGTCACAAGCAAGGTCCTGATACCCTACTCTAGACATGTCTTCATATGGCGAGGACAGGATTTCTTCCTTGATGAACCTGTACGGGTAGGAATTGAGGTACAGGAAAAGAGTGTGCGGGGACTCCAAAGCGTCGAGCTCTGACTGCAGCGATTAGTGAGTCTACGTAAAGTAGACTCACTAAAAGGTGGAGCGAACAGTGACAGTGAGTCACTGTTCGAATGCGTTCGAACGCTAATGGCGAACGCCGCATTTGGCGTTCGAAGAGTGAGTAGACAAAGGCATTTATGTGCCGACAAAGTGAGGGAGAAGAAGAGACGAGAGCGCGGGGACGTCAAACGCCGAGGTACATGATTGAAATGATTAGTCCATGGGTCCTATAGCCTCCTCTATACTCACAAAGCCTGACAGTTCGACGACGGAGCCATAGAGCGCCCGGTCGCAGATTTGGAGCGAGGGTAGCACGGAGCATCAAAGAGCCATTTCTCGAGGAACATGGACTTCAGCGCACAGCTTTTGCAGCGGCGAGGATCCGAAACACGCTTGTTCGCTCTGGAGAAGCGTGTTTCGGCGTCTCGCCGCAGCGAGGCGCCAGTCACGTGGCTCTCCTCTCATCCGTTGTCTGCCGCTCCACCTTTTCCATTTCGGCGGCCGCTTCTCGTGGCCATCTGCCAGGCTTTGTCAGTATATAGGAGGCTATGGGAGACCTAAAGCTAGGAGGTGCCTTTGCCTTCACTGCACTCGTCGAGCGGGTTAGAACGCGGAGCGCCGACTTCCGGCGTTTGGCTCTCGCATTCGAATGCATTCGACGAGTGCAAGGCCAGAGCCAGAGCTCAATGTTCTGACGTCTCTGCAGGCTTTCGGGCCCTTCTCTGCCTCCGGTTTTAGCCGTAGAAAGTGTATGCCGTTCTGACCCACCTCCCCGCCATCTTAGCTAGCGTAACGAAAGAAATAAAAAGAGGAGGCTATGGTTCAATGCTCTTATGTCGGTTACAAACGGGGCCGGCGTCGGGGTTTTCTCTCCTCACTTCTTTTTCTGGCAGACGTCAAGTGGTCTTCAATTTCGGGGCAGTGTTATCTTCGGACCATTCAGAGGACCGCTGAAACGAAGGGTGAATGGTCGTTGCGTGGATTGGTATAGAAAAGAAGCTCGTTGACCGACCCGCTCAGACACAAATGCTTCAGTGTGAAAGAAAAAAAAAATCAACTGCAAATACTTTTTTTTTTTAATAAAAAGGTCGCGGAGTATTTTTTTTATATGTAGAGTTCTGTGTCTTTCGGTAGATGCCGATAAACCCCAAAAACATCCCCGGACTCATTTGATCAAAATAAAGGCACCCCCCTCCCCCCCCCCCCCCCCAAAAAAAAAAAAAATATATATATATATATATATAAAGAAAAAAAAACGCATTGGAGGTATCCTTGAGTCAGAAACACCGAAGCTTCACAGAAAACAAAGCTTACCTACAGCTTTGTTTTGTGTTACTCAGAAATGCAGTTCCCATTGAACCGTCCGCGAGATTGCTTCTTTGATAAAGAGCACGTCCATTGGCCCTTTTTTTTTTCTTTTTTTCTGGGCGTTTCTACGTGAGATCGCGCAATGATGATCCTACTTTTTTTATATATTTATGTAAAAAATATATGCATAGCCTCCTCTATACTCACAAAGCCTGGCAGTTCGACAACGGAGTCAGCCTGGCAGTTCGACAACGGAGTCATAGAGTGCCCGGTCGCAGATTTGGAGCGCGAGGATCTGGTAGCACAGAGCATCAAAGAGCCATTTCTCGGAGAACCTGTACGTCAGCGCACAGCTTTTGCTGCGGCGAGGACCCGAAACACACTTGTTCCGTCGGGAGAAGTGTTGTTCGGCGTCTCGCCGCAGCGGGGCGTCAGTCACGTGGCTCTCCTCTCATCCGTTGTCTGCCGCTCCACCTTTTTCATTTCGGCGGCCGCTTCTCGTGGAGATCTTCTAGTGTTTGTATATAGGAGGCTATAGGGTTAAAACCATGTTCTTCAGCTACATGCGAACGCCGTATCTAGTTTTCTTCCGGATATATAAAAATTCGGGGCGTAGAGATTGCCAAGGTTTCGCTATGGTAGTTTGCACAGCCGTCAATTTCACACCGAACAATGGCTTCGTTTGCGACTGTAGCGCATCGGATCCAGCCAACGAATCGAATCGGTTCATGTAAACTGCTCGGATCGGATCGGATCGGATCGGATCGGATCGGATCGGATCGGATCGGATCGGATCGGATCGGATCGGATCGGATCGGATCGGATCGGATCGGATCGGATCGGATCGGATCGGATCCGATCCGATCCGATCCGATCCGCTTGGACGGGGTGGTTTGAAATGGTCAATCCGAATCGAGACTCTCCAGGTCTAGCGGATCGAATCGAGTGCTCGAGCGAGGGATCACGGGAGCATTGCGTTGCATGCCGCTAGGCAAACCTGGAACCTCGGGAACAATCAAAAGGTCACGAGGTTTGCGTTGTGATCCTTCGACACGAGGTGCCGCTACTGGTCAATCCGAATCCATGTAAACGCAGTGGTTGAAGTGGATCCGATTCGCTAAGTGGATCCGATTCGCTAACTGGATCCGATGCGCTGCTGTCGCATCCATGTAAACGTAGCCAATATACGTTATTTTTTCTACTTATTTTATGAAATGCTTACGAGATGTACGCAGTATATTTACAAGTGTTAGAGACACAATGGCAAATTATTTACCCACACTATTTGCACAGCACATTAGCGTTAATTCCAAAGTTCTCAACAGAGGAAAGTCCCATCACCGCGAAAACAAGGCGAGGGAAGTGGTATCTGCAGAGTCGGTATCTTGCTGTCCGACATTTTGTCTGGTGACAGACAAACCAGCTTACTCTTTCCAAGTGTCTATGCGTATCACCATGGAATACAGATAGATCTAGATAACCACAAGGGTTCTGTTGTTGGGTGTTTCCATGTCAATTGATACAGTGGTGGTCCAGGTCATATTTTGTATATTTCTGTAAAATATATTTATTCTATGAAAGTCATGTCCTTGGAAAAAGCACATACAGGGTGTTTCGCGAAACGCGGGCCAAATCGTTTCTGTGGAAAAGTGTTGTTTTAAAACTGGTTCCTGTGAAAGGGCCAGTTTAGATGAAAACAAAGTAAGTGTTTGATATAATTAGGTTAATAATCTCTTTTAGTAATAAACCTTATAATTATTAAATTTAAATGTACCATATTAATTATAAATGTAGTGGGAAAAATTGAATACTATAAAATCCACCAAGTTTATGGAAATATAAGGCACGGGCAGCCTTTTACGAAACTCCGTAAAACACACTCAACTTCGACGTGCTAAAAAAAAAACAAAAAAACTGGGGGTCAACGCAAGGAAACACGAATATAAAACTAAACTAGAGACGCAAAACGTTTTACACACCACGATAGAGCAGCACCGTTGTGCAACCTTCTTTGGTGCCGAGGTTGTGCAGCAAAGCCTCTATACCGAGGACATATGCTAGCTCTATTTGAGTAAAAGTTTTTTTTTTTTTTTTTTTTGTCTTTTTTATTTTAGGAAGTTTTATGTTACTCAATGTTTTGCCATGACAAGGTAGCTTAAAGGGACACTGACAGGGTATTTATGCTCGCCGAGGTTTTTAGTTGTGCGTGACATATAAGAGCTCAACTACCCAGAACAGAATTTGCGGCTCGAAATTCGGTTTCTTTCCGCCCGAAAACCGCCGATCAAGAACTGGCCGGTTCGAGTCTCGCTCACTCTCTTTTCCGCGGTCACGGGCCGTTTTCTAAGGTATCGATGCGACCACCAAATTTAATCAAAGTCGTGGGTCACTGAAGGCACACACTCAGTATTAAAAATAGAAAAAAAATATGAAACCCATTTTTTGTGGCTTCTAAAGAGCTGTAAATACGTTGATTGAAAAAAAAAAGTTCCACAGACAACCGGAAGCATTCTGTGCGTTCGTCGTTTCGCGTATCGTGGGACTCGCGGGGACGGCGATGGCAGCGGACGACGGGCGTGGGACCTCTATTTCAGAGCTGTCGCTCGCGGTACCGGCGAATTCTGAAATTTGGGACTGATCAAAAGAATTGGCATTCATCCCGTACGACACGCCCGGCCACCAAGCCGATTTGCACGAAGACGTCGCCGAGCCGTCGCTCCCTTCTCGTGGCTGAAGACAACGCTCGCGCAAACGTCAAGCACGACGTGTCTACTTCGAGTTGAATATGTACGCGTACGATTTCTTTACTAGGTGCGAATGTCCCCAAAGCGTGGTGCTTCCCGACTTCGACCCGGGAGTGCTTTTGCTAGAGAAAAATCGACAGCAAACTTTCAAACTTACAGTTTACCGGCTGAATTATTACTAAGGAAAGAGATCCACCAGAAACGTCGCTCAGTGGGAAAGACGTCCGCTTCACACGCCGTAGGTCCAAGTTCGATCCCCCGTGAATTTGTTTTTTTTTTTTTTTTTTTTTGCAAACAATTTTTGATGTTTACATATCTTTTTCTTTTTTTTACAATCATCACTGAAGAAACAAACAAAAAAATAACAAACAAATGTTGTGGACGATACTTCGCTGAATTAAATGGTATGGGATTTCCGTTTTGACACCTGCGAACTCAATGTAATCACTTTCCACAAAATGCAAGGAGCATATAAATCAGGTAGCGTCCGCTTTCCAAGGTGCCCGTAAATGTTCTACAGGAATTGCGGCCAGCCATTGGTCCCGATCCCGTTGATCTTTCGGAAACTCTGTCGCACAATGCCACTTCTGTTTCGGATGCAGGACATGTGAGCCAGCTCTTCACGCAACATGTTGGGTGTATTCTTTTCGGAGCCGATCATGGAATTTCACCACGGGCACTCACTACTCATCTCCAACTCCTCAATGTACAAAACAACTCATCTTGGAGTACAGAACAACGAGCGGAACAAACATAACTGCAAAAAATAATCGCACGGCGAGCAGTTCCCGCACCCCGCATCGCACGCCGCATGTCGTGTCGTCTGCTACCGGAGAGGAGAAAAAAAAAAAAAAAAAAACGCACGGTCGGGTGTAGCCACGTGATTTCCGCCACTTACTCTCTTCTCTCCACTTCTCTGACCTCCGTCGGGTTTCGGTTTCGGTTTTGAGCAGTTGCGTCTTTTGGCTTTATTAAAAAAATACGCTACTCTGTTGCAAAATATTAATTGGGTAGTCCTCCGACACCATAATAAAGCGCCTGGCAAAAAATAAAATTTTTTTTTGGGGGGTGTCAGTGTCTCTTTAAATCACTGTAAAGGGTTAAAGAGACTTTAAATAAAATTTTAAAAAAAATTGGTTTTGCCGCTTTTACCATTTTTAGAGAAATTAATCGCGTTTATGCATTAATAACATAACTACAATATTGACTTATCATATTTTTTATTAAATATTCGTAAAATGCATTTCAAGATGATCATTCGTATATATTTTGCGTCGTTATATATGAAGTAGTTCGTTGGTGAAGGATTTGAGAATGTGTCTCTAACACGTGTTTATTTGACGTGTTTCGTAAATGTTTTGCATAGAAATACTTTATTGTAATTTTTTTATATTTAGTGTACATGTCGTAAACCTTTCATAAAATAAGTGTAAAATATTATTACCTGTCATGCTTCGCAAAGTACCATTGCGAAACCTCGACAATCTCCGCGCCTCGAGCATCGAAATTTTATATCTCCGGAAGAAAATTTGCTACGGCAATTCCCTTCCCAAGAACATGGCCTTAACATATTTTTTAACATAAATATAAAAATATGATCCGGATCATCATTGCACGATATGACACGTGGAAACACCCTTCTTTGTCGATACTACTGTTCAGATCATGTGCATGTTTCCTGGAAGTCGGGAAATCCCATGTCCGTGTCCTTTCTTCAACGAGAGTCTCGATAAACACCGATTTTTTTCTCCGACAAGAAAAGACCCCGCAAAACGCCGAATTTGTGGGGAAAAAATAAGCCCCGGAAAAACACCCCTTATTTCCAAATAAACCCCGAAGAAAACCTGCCTGACTAAATGCATTTAAAATTAAAGGCCTTAATTAAAGGACTTAAAGGCCAAGATGGCGGGTGTATACGGTCACGTAGTGCTCGCGTCACCAGTATCCGGCTCTTGCCGCAGGTGGCCGACGCCGACTCTCGGCACCCCAACGTGCACCTGGTGAGCTACCTGCTGCTCTACCTGAGCGCATGCATGAACCCCCTCATCTACGGCGCCACGAACCGGCAGTACCGGCAGGCGTACCGGGCGCTGCTCGTCGACTGCCTGCCGGCCACGGCTTCCCAGGACTCCGAAGACCAGCAGCAGCAGACGACGCCCTCAAGCAGGACGCTAGTGTCCACGGTCGGATCGCCGTCGCCGCCGCAACAGCCCATGCAGCATTTCGGCACACAGCGCTGATCGTCGTCAGCGGAATTGTTTCGGGGCTTGAGGCTAAAGCCATGGCCAGGTTACCAGTACATCATACTGAAGGCACGGTGTTTATTGCAGACATAATGACAGCAGGCGGAGCGTAAGTCCGCCTGCTTCATTTGCAGGGGTTGTAGTGACGTCAGAACGCCGAACTCTGATTGGTTGTGAATGAAGGATAGTGGGTAGACCTCAAAGCAGCTCGCTTTAAGGTCTACCCACTATCCTTCATTCAGAGCCAATCAGAGCACGGCGTCTTTCTGACGTCACCACAACTCCTACGCAAGAAGCAGACGACAAGCTCTCCGCAGAACCTGCGGTCGTGCCTCAAGCATGTTTGCTCCACGTCTGCAGACAATTTTTTGTGTGATGTATTGGCAGTGGGACCGCGGCTTCGAGACGTTTGCAAGCAGCCGCGCTTCGAGAGCTGTAGTCTGGCCGCTGTGGATGGAAAACTCTTTGTTTTGGCGCCAGTCTGGAAACCGTGGGTTCGTTTCAGCATTGCTTGACTACCAGACGATCTACACACGCCGGCAGCAAGATTGTGGTGCCCGAAACGCGTCTCCGACTGGTGTGTTCATCGCGTCCAAAAAAGCGGTCCCTCCATGACCGCCTGATGACGTCATAGAAGTGTCACGCTGTCGCCGGTCGCGATCCTGGCGGTGTCCCAGCAGCGGGTGGTGGATGTAGCAGACGCCTGTTCTGTTGTAGGTCGCTCTTCGGTGTGAAAGTCCACGGAAGCTTAAGCCGCCAGAAGTTAGGACGCAGTGACGAAAGCGACACTCGCGTTCGCTCGTGCTCTTCGCCAGCATTTCTACGACCAACTGCCAGGATCGCGACATCCGGCAGCATGACACTTCGGCTTCTGTGACGTCATTTGTTGTCACTTGGTGACCACTTTTGATGTATGGGCAGCATAGGACGCTAAACACACCAGTCGAAGACGCGCTCCAGGCACCACAGCAAGATGGCGTCGCCAACAGGCCGCACTTGCGGTGGTTTCATGACGTGGTGAACAAAACCAACAGCAAATCGGAGGGCAGCTGCGATTCGACGGAGATCGGCAGCGCCATGTGTGTCCGACCCCTGCAGGACGCCAGCAAGAACAGTGACAGCGCGTCCTTACACTTCTTTTACTGGCAAAGTGCACGTGCATATCTATGGTAAAATCCATGATCAAATAAGACCAGTGTACCCGCAACGCAATAATAAAGAAAAATCGACGCCGAATGGAAGCAGACGGTTCCGGTGTTCTGTGGTAAACGTGTCCTGCGCGTTACCATGCATGTATTCGAATTCTACTTAAAAAAAAAAAAAAAAAAAGTAATCGTAAAATGGGGATTTTTTTTTTTTTTTTATGTTGACCAGCGCGGGTTATTTCTACTGATGAGAGCAGATAACAAAAACAAATGTGACCTCGAACAGTGTCTGTGCTCCACAAGAACCGGGTTATTTCTACTGATGAGAGCAGATAACAAAAACAAATGTGACCTCGAACAGTGTCTGTGCTCCACAAGAAGCACTTACTTAGAATCTTTACTTCCCTTTCAGGAAAAACTGGTACCGGGTGTCCGTTTTGCGGCGAATTTTTGTCCGCCATTGCGCAAGCTTTTCAGTGCAGGAATTTTACTGCTTAGCCGCCCTCTAAATCTTCGTATGACGAATTTAAAGTATTCACACACGGCAGCATATCTTGCCCAGCCACGTGACACGATGCAAATACCAGATATGTGTGCCGGTAACCGGCCACTACGGAACTAGCATTTCTCAACTCTCTCTCCTTCCTTTAATATTATGTGAATAGTCAATAATAATATTATTAATAAATGAAAAATCTAGCTCTGTCCGGAACTCTAAACTAATGCCGCTTTGCGTATAAGTTTTGTGTTGCTTTGTCCGTCTTGAGAAGCGCAAATAACAACTGACTTTTTTGACCGTAATCACGCGGCGCAAAGTGAATTCCTTATGATCCGCATTTAAAACTCAGCTTTAATTAAGCTTGAATGTGTTTTGTTCATACAAGGTGTGACAGTTTAATTATCGGAATGACTTCAGCGTGACGCTGGGGTCGTGAGTTCGACAAACGTTTGTACACGAGCAGACCCGGACATTCGTTCCAACTTGCGCTAATCTTAAAGGGATACTACAACGAAATTTCGGCGCGCATTTTTTGGTCTATATGTGTTCAAAAGAGCAGTATCACATGGAACATACCAATATCTTGTTAAAAAAGTCTCGAAAAGGAATTTTAAAACGAATTAAACGATTAGCAAAGAGCACCTGGTGGATGTCGCTAACGCCTCGTTTTTTAATGCTCGTCTAGGAACCTTGACAGCTAGTGACGGAGGTTGTCTCGTCTCCGGCCACGACGAGAGAAGGGGGGAAGGAGGAACTCCCCTCTTCCCGAAAATCCCTTTTATGTGTCGCAGAAGTCGCTATTGTCCCCCTAGAAGATTATAGAAGATTAACCCGACCCTCCAAATTCGTACAAAAGCAGCCGCTTCGGTGGCTGGAACGACTAGGCCATCCTCTCGACGTCAGCCTCGCCGTAGCTTTGCTCGTCTTGAGACGACCTACGTCACGACTGCGTCGGATGTCACGTGCTCTAAGCTGGGCCTTCTCCGAGCGCTTGCCAGAGTGGGCCGTTTATAACAAAAAATACAGCCACCAGGATCGAAATACAAACGTGCGATTGTCATTTACGGATATTGTGGATCATATTCAACCTATTTTTGAAGACGACGGGAATATTTCAAATTTCGTTGAAGTATTCCTTTAAACAACGGCCTATTTTGAGCAGCGTATGATGTTGTATCTGGTAGAAAATGAGTGACAGGAATTTAGTGCAACCTATTAACATCAGGCTTTGTGTAAAGATTGGTAAAATGCCAGTGAAAAGGGCGAATCAAGGAAGATCAAAAGGATGTTTAGTGTGAAGGAATAACTGGGCAGTCGCAAAATGCAAATGACCGATGCAGATGTGTACAGAGCTCTCTGATTCAAGATTACGTGTACAACGAATAGCAAAAAAAAAAAAAAAAAAGTTAAATATTAATAGAGAGATGTGCGAGAGATTCTAAGTAACGATTTGGGAGGGAAAAAGATGTTCTGCAAAAATTGTGTACCGCATCTGGCGTGAATTCTGCATCATGACAATCACCTACACGATTCGTTAAGGGTTCGTGAGATCCTCGCTAAGAAATCCATGACAAAAACAGACCTTGCACCCTTTTGGCTTGTCATTACGTCCTGCAATCTCAGGCTCTTTCCAAAAATAATAAACTTATATAGCTACTAAACGTAAACTTTTCGGTGGACATCCACCTGGTTAGGAATGACAATGAAAGAAAGGAAGAACTCTAACCAGAAAAATTGATATGGAGCCCGACGTTTCAAAGCCAGTTCGGCCCCTTGATCACGGGTGTCTGTTTTTGTTCTTGTCGTCGTCTTGCAAATTGCCCGGTGTTTCCTTTCTTTCATTATATAGCTACTACTTTTTTTAAATTTTTTTGTTTACATTTTTGTGCAACGCATCAACGTTAATTCAAAGTATTCCAGAAAACGAATAAAAAGAAATAAATTTGCGGCAATGGCACCATTGCCTGATGACTAAGCCTAGCAAAGGAAGTACAGTATATTTTGAAGGTACAGGTTAGCAAAGCTTGCTTTGAGAGGCTCATCATGAGAATTCAATTGCCACACCTCAATTCTATGACATGCACACGTACGTCATATCATGCGGAAGCCCGCTGTTTATCGCCAAGGAGTGTCCCCGAGCGGGAAAGAAAAAAAAAAAAAAAAAAGGCTGAACATTGCACGCTTTTTTTACAGATGTTCCCTCTATCTCTAAACCTCCAGACTTGTCCTCAAAGGGGAGTCTCGTGGCTGCCCGTGCTGTCGGAAAGAATCGTGCTCTTCCTCTGGAACAGTTCGCGGTAAGCCTGCCTGTACTCGCGGCTCATGCAGATGTAGATAATCGGGTTCACGCATCCGGAAAAATAGAAGTTGAGGTAGGCCACCACCTTGATTCCAGGGTAGTTATCCAGCAAGCGGAACGCGTTAATCACCAGCAGTGGTAGGTAGCACCAGGTAAACACCGTAAAGATTACCAGGACCATCTTCAAGAGCCTGAGGTCCTTGTCTGTCCTCTTTTGATGCCTCTGGATACGTTCTTCGGGCACTGACTGCTCATCCTGCTCTTGCTGAACCCCGAGGCGCTTCAGCAGATTAACCACGAACGCCGCTGACTTGTGGCTGGTGCTGTACTGCCGAAGGTTCTTCTGCGTGTTCCGAACGATCCAGTAGATCCTGCTGTAGCAGACGACAAAGAACACGGTCGGCAGGAAATAGGCGACCATGAACAGGAACGCTTTGCTGCTCCTTCCATTGTGTGGCACAACGCTGCAGTTGCCTATGTCCTCGTCCCAAGCAAACTTCCCCCATACTCCGGCCGTGGGCGCTAGCATCAGGACCACAGTGATGAGCCACGTGCCGGCAACAACTAGGAGGTTGTTTCCAGGAGTGAAGACGCGCTTGTACAGCATTGGTTTCACGATGATGACGTACCGGTTGATCGCGATCGAGATCACGGTGAAGATGGACGTGCCGACATAAAAAAAGCGGCTTACGCCGTAGGCCACGCACAGCCCGCGACTATAGTCCCATCCGGCGTTCCAATAGATCGTCACAGCAAACGGTGTACTGGTAGCACTGAACATCAGGTCAGTGAAGCACAGGTTCACGATGAGGACAGTGGTGGCGTTGTTGAGCTTGGAGGACTTGACGAGTGCCAAGATGGATATCGTGTTGGCGAGCACGCCGAAGACGACCATGAGGACGAGGAAAGCGAATCCGGTTATTAGGGCATCGTGCGGGTAGTCCTTGAATCTGAGTACCTTAGAAGAAGTGTCGTTGACGTCCTCCGCGACATCCGAAGACGTTTCGTTTGCGACGTAGAGTGTGAGGTTGATCAGACCTTCCATGTCGAAGCAGCGGCGACGAAAGAATGTCAGGCGGAGTTTGTGTTGTCTACAACGGCGACAAATCCGCACCCACAAGTTCCGTTCACTAAGGCTAGAAGAGACCGTCGACGAGGTTATCAGGCCGGTACCCTTGTTCCGGCAGTTCTCACACCCTCTTCAGGAAGGTACGTGCTGATTGTCCCGAAGGTACATGCTCAGCAACATACTATATTGTGCCAAAGATAGTGCATTCGTGTACGTGCGGACGTTGCGGCCAGGCTCTTAGGAGCGGCTGTACTGGCTTAGGAGCGGCTGAGGGAGCAACTCAATCCGTGGAGAGTGTTTGCAATTTAATGGCGGACGCCTCCTCGACAGGTTGATCGCAAGTGCGCATGCGTTGCGTTGTAGCGTAACGAGGAAAGCGGACGGAGAGGCGGAGACGCCTACAGACGATCGAATTCACCTCGCAGCTAATTTTAATGCAGACGCTGTCCACACAACGCGTGACGTAGATCGAGCACTGGAAACACTCCACTATATATCGGCCACACATCGCGGCGCCACATTGGTGCCACTGATTAAAGGGATACTGAACCGAAATTTGGATTTCGTAAAGTAAGGCTGCAGAAGTGTTGAACAGCTAGACGGGACGTAGCGCGGAGGAGAGAGAATGGGAATCGTGACGGTGCCTCGGCTCGTCGGCCTCGTCGGCCGGGTTTCAATCGCGCACTTCTTTTCCAGAAAATACGGCGATCCGTTAGAGATATCGCTGTATAAGTGATATTTTTTGGTTATGCAGGTCCCCGCCTATCCGCCCGGCCTTGTTTAGTGAGCTCGAAATTTCGGTTCAGTATCCCTTTAAGGCCCCTGTATACTTACCACTGATGGGCGACTGCTTCATCGTGGCCGACGCTCGGCCAAGGCCTTCCTCTTCGTAGCCCTCTTCGTGATGCTTTCTGCTACTTCTGGAGGGAAGCAGACCAGGTACGGTACGTGGAACGTGTCGTCGACTGGTGTGTATACTCCAGTGTTGGACAAAATACTCGATAGAAGTAGTTAAGGTAAGTTACTAAATACCTGCTTCGTAAAGTATTTTAAATACTACTCAAGTTACTTTCACTGTAAACTATCTTGAGTAGAGTATTAATACTTAGAAATGTAATTCAATTACTTTTGAAGGTACTTCCGCATTGCGTAATCTGTACCGACGTCAGTGACAACGACAATTATACAGCCGCGCAAATCTGGTTTACCACAATGGTTTATTAACACGCAAGAACATAAAACGGAAAAAAAAAAAAAAGTATCGTAGAGCTATTTTACGCAGTCCAACTAGAAGGAGCAGGATATTGCCACGAATGACAAACGATGAGGCGGCGAATAACTGAAAAAACTAAAGGTTCAATGGGCGAACTTGTTAGCGTCGCAGGCGTAGATGTCGGCGAAACAGCAGGATCGAGCGCTGGGCCGAGGCCGACTCCGGATCGTCACGCGGAGCACCTTTTGTACCCGTGTGGGTTTCTGGAACATTCGGCGTAGAACGTTCGGCGCGTAGAACATTCGTAACTTAATCAGACGACAAGGCTCTCGAGCACACGAGAATGTCAAGTTGAAAGAATAAATAAAAGAAGAGTCCGCTCCCTGGGTACTGAATTCGGAGCCCTCGCGCGAGAGCCAAGAACAATAGACATTCGGCCACGCGCTCTTTTTTATTTTTTTTTTTTTTTTGTAATTTAGTTACGCGTTTGCTTGGTAACGCGCGTAGCAATGGGAAATTGTAGTAGACCGTTTCCGCAGCCCGCTAAGCAGCCGAATAGCGCTCCGTAATTCGCCACAAGACCTTGAACTATGCAGACAAGGCTGGTGGCGCGCATGCGCAGCTGCGGCGTTTTCTTCGCGGATACCGTAGCGGAGGAGAAAAACGGTCTACTAAAATTGCCTAATATCACTGATACATGTTGCAAACCATTTCTGGGACAACAAGAAAGAGGTCGCTTTAGCTATTGGGGAGGAGATCAGACCGTGGCGCCCCAGGCGGTTAATTTTAGAACTACACGGATGGGGACAACGAATACAATAGGGAGTTTTAGTGGACCGTGTTACCCCCTCCGCTAATCCTCCGCTACGAAGAAACCGCCACTGCGCCTGCGTGCCGATGGCCTTGGCTTTAGAGTTCCGGGTAGCCGAGAGGCTTAGCGAAGTAGGAAACACGGTCCTTCATGTGCGCCTCGCATAGTGATGCCGACTGCCTGTTTCCCTTTCCCCCCACGCCATTTTGTTCCTCATTGTTTCCCCGTGCGTTTCCCGTGCGCCGGAAAGGGGCCTTTGTGTCCATCGGTCCCCTCATCCGAGGGGGGAAATGCTAATCCTCCCTCCATGGGTTCCACAACGCTGCTCCGAACTTGTGAGATAAGCTGCTTGTTTCCAGGAGGGTTATGAGCCCCACGGATTATAGCCGAGACCAAAATGGCTGCTGGTTTGTCGGCGAGTGGTATTACAAAGGGTGTCACCACCCTAGCAAAGCGCACATGAAGGCTCCCTAGGTCTACTAAAACTCGCTAATGACACAGCACTCGGCTGAAATAACCTAACGCGGCGTCAGCGTTCGAGTGGAGTTCGTGTTTTCCGGTGCACGGTGCCCAGCTCAGCATAAAAGCCCTCAAGCTCGCATCCTCTTACTACTGCTTTCGGGAAAGATCCGGCACTTCGCTTATTATTAGTATTTTTACATTACACTGCTGTGCCCCGCGCTCTACTAAAAGGAGATAACATGAACATTCCCACAAGGCCTGTGGGAATGTGCACATGCCTTGTGTTGGGTAAACACCGAGGCGTGGGGGCAACAAACGGGTCAGAGCGCCTCGCCAATAGTGACGTCGCTGAATATCACGTCCTGCGGCGCACCTTATAAATTATAATCCACATGAACTTGGGATACGGATATGAGTGAATGGGTAACAAAGAGAACCCACATTATAGCCACGCCAGTGGTTTAAGTAGGTTGCGTTCAGAAAGGCACTCAACGTTTGCGACGCTTTGTTGGCATTTTGAGAGGTCATCCAGCTCCTAGTTCCTTTCCTGTCCTGTTCTCTGCAGGCTTATCAATGTTCGCTTACAGACACTGTTCGCGAGAGCAATAAGTGACGGACTGACGACAAAAAGAAATAAACGAAAGAAAACCTTGATGCTTTGCCGTAGCAAAGTCAAATATGCAAAAAGCAAAACTTTTTTTTTTTTTTTTGTGTGTGTGTGCACTTTATATATTTTTATTTATTTTTTTGACACTCGGGTCTGCATTGTTGCCGTAGGTCGTTTTCCGGTCTGCGTTGCGCCTCAGTGTGGCTATCTTTACTGCAGTAAAAGCACCAGTGTTTGAGGATTTTTGGGGGGAAGCTCTAGGAAACAAAAGGCGCCGTTGGGAACGCGAGGGGAAAACCTTGGTTGTACGAAGTTTATCGGCAAAAAAGCGATGTTTTCACGAGCTCAATCGAAGTCCCCTTAGCTAATCGGAGCAAGCAACAGGACTTGGTTGCTGGAAATAATGTTCACGTTTGCTCGTGCCACGCCCACGCCACATCATACCGAAAAACTCGGAAAATGGCGGAATGTAAAAAATGTATTTGAGATGATGAGTACAAGACACTCAGAAATGTAATTAAGATAGAGTATTAAATACTCTCGATTAAAAGTATTTGCAAGATACCAAAATACTTTAAAAGGTATACATTTTAAATACAGTATCTTGAGTAGAGTATTTGAGATAGGCACAAGTCTGGACTATACTGTCCTATCCCGCCCATATGCATTGAATGTGGTCCCGATGTGCAACAATTATTCCGTCACACCGCCGTGTCAGGCTGTCGAATATTGGGCTCCTGGTGGTTGCTTGTAGAAATGATGGAGACGAGTTGCAGCAGAACAGACGTCTTCCACATTATCGGCTCCGCTGCAGGTTCGCGGCAGCAAGAGCGTGACATTTCTATGAAGTCGACAGGCGGAAGTCGAGGAACCAGAAATAAGGACGCGGTAAACGTGTTCGGCGCATGCGTGACGCCGCCATAACTTCAGTTAAGAGGAGGCAGGCGTCAGTTCTCGAGACGACTCGTGCCGTCTCATGCTCTGAACGCACAGTGCTTCGGCGAGGTTGTCCCACGTGCCAAACGACCGAAGTTCCCTCAATGCATTGCGGCAGCGGCAGCGTAACGAAACTGATATACGTGATATCCGTGACATCACGGATATACGTGATATCCGTGATGTCGGTGTATTCAGAGGTTTTTGAGTTCTTCTCTTCACAAATAAGTTCGCGCTTGCCCACACACCAATTGTGGACGCTGTATGCACGCAGAAACCTGACTCGCATGTAATGAAGCGTCTTGAGCATGTGCTGCATTGCGCAGTGTCGACAGCAGCGTTATCTTAGCGATGTGACGTCAGAGTCGTTCGCTGTAGACGTTTCAGGTTCATCTTTTAACTTAGAATACCCCTTTTTTCATGTTTTTTTTTAAGGAAGTATACATTTATATAATTTTACCTCAAATTTAAGGGCTAAATAATTAAGCAGTTGACGGGATGGTTCGTCTTGGCATCGCGGAACTTGGATTTCCGCTAAATGATTTAATAAAATTAGTTTTAAATAGTATTAATTAAGAACTAATCTCGGGACACGGTTTTCCGTGTCCCAATATGGCCGTCCGGTGGCCGCATTCGCGGAGCCGGTAAACGTGATCCAGCAATTGTCACAGAGATCAGTGGTTACGTCCACCCCAGTGCACAGCTGAACCGATTGCAAATTCCAAGCGTAAAGGGCACATAACAGGAAACAAGCCAGAACCAAAGATGCAAGCTGAAGATGCCAACACAAAGCAAATAAAATAAAAAAGGAAAGGGTCAGAAAAAAAAAAATAATTAAAGACGTTTACAATTGTACAATAAAGCGCAGCTCTTAAGAAGAAGGAGGAGAAGGTATGCCCTTCCGCACCCTCCCCTCCTCTCCTCCCATTTAGCGGGAAATTTTCGTTAAATTTTCCGCTAAATTCAGCGGGCAAACTGAACTGGTGTTGTGGTCACGTGACGTCAATTTCAGGCTAAATTTAGGCGGTTACGCCGACGCCGCGGAACACAAAAAACAAGCGCCTAAAAAAAAAATATTAGTGCAGTTGCAAATGGTTACTTCGTTGCGATATGAATGTGGCATGATTTACCTGGGTCACAATACCATCATTCTTTTCAACTCCTCGGAATGGAGGCACTGGGCACTCCTGGAATGGCTGAACTCCACCATTCCATTCCTTTCTTAAATGTGAAAAAAAATGGCAATTGACAGCCACACTGTTACCTGAATAAGGCAGCATAAAGCCATGCTGACGCTATCAAACGCGGAGACGACTGCAAAAGTACGCAAAAGCTCCTTCAAAGCACCCATCCTGTTAGGCGCTTTGTGCGTGGTAAAGCGCTTTGTGGCACTTGGTGTCACTGCATACATCGATCGCGCAATCAAGCGTGAAAAAGCTCGTGATTCGCAACAGATGCCAAAAATGAAAACCCCCCATTTTCCTCACAAACCGACTGTCATACCCTCCAAGTGCACAGGTACATGGTTAGCGAGCTGTTTGTTTGCCTTCAATTGTCTAGTTCGTGCGTGGCACAAGAAGAACCATTCTTGCTTTCTGCTTCGACTGCTTGCGCAACAGCACGGCTAGTGCGCAGTTAGAAGCGACGCCGGGTATACCTGCCCCAATGGACCTTTTTCCAGTAAGGAGCGCCTCATGACGGTTTCGCCGCCTACTACAAATGGAGGGCAACCGGACTCGCCTTCTCCCATAGGAACAGATTAGTGTCGCAAGAAAACAGTGCCCCCCAAGAATGGCGAAAGGGCGGTCAAGGTCAAGGGAAAAGGGTGTGCGCGTGCGCAGACGCTTACTGGAAAAAGGTCTATTCTCCATGCACGCAGCACGCAAGAACAGAAAGGTGCTGACAAAGAGCAGTCGGAATACGGCGCCAGCACAAGAGACTGTAGCACCATATTATGGTACTCGTGGAACCTACCCCAAAAAAACTTTTATGTATGTTGTACGATTCTTGCGATTTCTTAACATACGCGGTCCAATTTTTCGTCTTCCAGGCAGAAACTAGACTACCGGCTGAGTTGAAAGCAGGGAGTCGAACCGGCCATTAATCCACTTCGGTTCGGGTTCGGGTTGCTTTCATTCTGTTACGGTTCGGTTCTGGTTCAGTGGTGCTTTTGAAATAACGGTTCGGTTACCGGCTCCACCAAGCGCGAACCAGTTCAAATTGATTCTTGAAAAAAGTCCACAGGTCCCAGTCGTTAAAGGTGAGTTCAACACGGCGTCATCTCCATTAACATAAATTACGTCATCAGAAGCCGTTCTGAGGAAACGAGAGCAAAATAAATATAAGCTTAATTTCGTGTTGTGATTTTGAATTTTGAACGCGAATGCCGCTCTATGAAAATTACGTGGTTATAAAGTACAGTACTCACATGTGAAGTCAATCAGCCATCACGCACAGTGACACCGTGACCGTATAAAGCGAAGGCCGGTCAAACGATGATTAAAACAAGAAAGGAAACAAGAAGACAACGGGCAACTTGATGTTTCTATAAAACGCACACACAAACAAATTTTATTCAAGCAGCGTCTAGGCGACCGACGCCGCATGCAGTGTCGAGCTCGTCGCGGCTTCGCCTCTTGGTGCCTCCAGATTTTGCCATCGCAGAACAAACGCGCCGTCAACCGTCAACCTTTTGCTTTTATTTTGATGTTTATATTTGCGTTCCTTTTACTCGAGGAATGCTGCTTAGAAGAGCAGGAAAATCACACGTGACACCCTCCAATCTATGATTTGGCTCCAGTGTCTCGTAGCGTCCTTTGCGGTTCACCGTAAGGTGAAACGAAGTATAGAAGTGTACGCCTCCATTCCGAGTCGTCGACGCCAATTCGTGCTGGGCATAGACGTGAAGACACATACTTATTTGCTTCGTTATTAGTGAGCTGACACCATGCCGTCACTGCCGTTTGTTTAGTCAAAACTGAGCCGCTGACGCGACCGTCGCGAATATTTAAACGACTTTGCGTTGCCACCCGCAAGAAGGCGCAGCTCACATTTTATTACGCTGAACCGTTGCCAATGAACTGGTAACCGCCGCACGATATTACGGTCCCTTTCCGGTTCAGGTATACAATGTCGAATGATTGATTTCGGTTACAGGTCTGTTTCGGTTCAGTTAAGAATAACAGTTATGCTCCGATTTTCGGTTCGGGTTCCTTTTGACACCCTGGTTAAAAGCTGCACGCTAATCGCGTATGATTACAACAGCCGCTTGGTCGTGCTTCGCGGCGCCAGGAACGACATCTTATCCGCCTAGATCTGCCTATAACTATTCAGTTTTAGTTACTTCACGGAGGGCGCGCCATTTTCATCCTCGAAGGGGCATAAGCGGTGAGACAATAAAGTCGTCATTCACATCCAGTGCAATGATGCTGTTTCAAGAGTCACTTACCATGCGCTAGTGAATTGCGCCATCAGTCCGTAGGCCCTATAGATGAAAATCGACACGGCTTGCATAAGAACCGAGCCCATTTCATTCCGTCCATTCCGGGCAAAAGGGATTTAATTCCATTCCCCCTCCATTCCCCCTCAGCGATGCCGCCATTCCATTCCCATTCCATTCCCATTCCATTCCCATTCCATTCCCATTCCATTCCGGGGTCGCGAAAATGCGGAATGATTCCGGAATCGTTTCAACTCCGAAGTGGCAATTCCGCAACACTGGACAATACCGCTTGTCATGCAGGTTATTCCAGTCCACTATTAATCGATAACGGCATAATGGAGTAAAGAAACGAGACAGATGAAGCGAAGTAGCTTACACGCGTTATCAACGCGAGCAAATATGCGATTGGGTGGAAATAGCAATTAAGTTCTGACGTCATTGTTATGAATGATAGTAGATCTTGTGAAAGGGACAGGCGTGATAATGTTCTTCTGGATGTAAGTAGAACGAGGTTAGAGTTTGTTTTTAGTGAAGTGATACTGGTGTCTCAAAATAGGAATTTGAATTTAGTAACTTATCTTAAGCACTTTTCTCGAGTATCTTGTCCAACACTGGACTTTCAGCTCATATTGCACGCGGGATTCCCCTCGATGCGCAGTGCAATATCCGGGATAACCACGAGGCCTCCTTTCACGGAAATGTCTATTGTGTCCGCAATAAATGCGCAGGAGTTCGAGGGTTCAAATTACACTCTTCCCGGTGATATGGACGTACCTTGCGTAACACTCGCTGTTTTCATACAACGAATCTCAATTATACTACGCGACAGGATTCAAATACCAGATTTTGCTTGTCCATGCATGCAGAGCTGCACACTTCTTGAATCCTGACTTTTTCGTCATAAAAATGACATGGCGGAGCCAGTGGCGTAGCCAACCATTTTTTTCGGTAAAGGGGGGGAGGGCTGAGGTGGCTGGGATTCTTTTACTAGGGGTGCGGAGAGGAGGGGGTTCAAAATGCATATCTATATTATAGGGTCGGCTGCATTTCGGGGCGGGGCGGGCTAAAGCCCCATTAGCACCCCCCCTGGCTACGCCCCTCAGCTGGCTGCAGAGTGAATATCTGGCGGTACGCATTTAAAGCATGAGTTTTTACTCGTAGTTTGAAAGTAAGCTTGAATGTGTTTCGTTCGGATATGTGGCGCAGATACAAATCCGTTATCATGCGGATACGCGCTGTCTATCGTACGAAGAAACTCAATGAACCGAAAGAAAAAAATTCTGAACGAAGCTAATCCTTTGACGGAAGCACTCTCGAAATTTCTACAATCCTCCAGACGAATCCTCAAAGATGAGTCTCACGGCTGCTTGTGCTGTCAGAGAGAGTCGAGCGTTTCCTCTGGAACAGTTCCCGGTAAGCCTGTCTGTACTCTCGGCTCATGCAGATGTAGATGATCGGGTTCACGCATCCGGAAAAATAGAAGTTGAGATAGGCCACGACCTGAACACCAGGGTAGTTATCCAGCAGGCGGAAAGCCTTCAGCAGCAGCAGTGGTAGGTAGCACCAGGTGAACACCGCGAAGATTACCAGGACCATCTTCAAGAGCCTGAGGTCCTTGTCGGTCCTGTTTTGGTGCCTCTGGATCCGCTCTTCGGGCACTGGTTGCCCCTCCTGCTCTTGCTGAGCTCCGAAACGCTTCATCAGATTGGTAACAAACGCCGCTGACTTGTGGTTAGTGCTGTACTGCCGAAGGTTCTTCTGCGTGTTCCGAACGATCCAGTAGATCCTGCTGTAGCAGACGACAAAGAACACGGTCGGCAGGAAATAGGCGACCATGAACAGGAACGCTTTGCTGCTCCTTCCATTGTGGGGCACAACGCTGCACGTTCCGATCTCGTCGTCCCAGGCGAACCTGCCCCAGAGTCCAGCCGTGGTCGCCAGCATCAGGGCCACAGTGATGAGCCACGTGCCGGTAACAACTAGGAGGTTGTTTCCAGGAGTGAAGACTCGCTTGTACAACATCGGTTTCACGATGATGACGTACCGGTTGATCGTGATCGCGATGACGGTGAAGATGGACGCTCCAACGTTAAAGAAGCGGCTCACACCGTAGGCGACGCACAAACCGTGGCTGTAAGCCCATCCGGCGTTCCAGAAGACTGTCACGGCGAACGGCGTGCTGGTGGCGCTGAACATCAGGTCAGTGAAGCAGAGGTTCACGATGAGGGCAGTGGTGGCGTTGTTGAGCTTGGAAGACTTGACGAGTGCCAAGATGGATACCGTGTTGGCGAGCACGCCGAAGACAACCATGAGGACGAGGAAGACGAATCCGGTTATTAGGGCATCGTGCGGGTAGTCCTTGAATCGGAGTACCTTAGAAGAAGTGTCGTTGGCCTTCTCCGAGCCCTCTGAAGACGTTTCGTTTGCGATGTGGAGTGCGAGGTCGATCACGCCTTCCATGGCGAAACAGTGGCGACGAAAGGATGTTAGACGGAGTTTGGGATCTCTACAACGGCGACAAACGCACATCCACCAGTTCCGCTCTTTGGCAGGAAAAGACCATCGACGCGTGTATATCAAGCCCGTGATAACCCGGGTTCCGGCTGGTCCGCCATCATCTCCAGGAAGAAGAATGAGCTCATGGGCACCTCTCGTATACGAGCTTGTTTATACTCTATGTCGTAATGCTGTGTGCGACTCTCTATCGCATTTCAAATCAAGGTGGAATGGACGCGAAGGCATATTGTTAGTGCCCAGACTCGAACCTCGAATGAATATGTTGGCTTGCTTCGTATTATTATTTCTTTTTCTGCTTTTATGGTATATAGCTGCTTATGACCGGGTTGTTAGTAGTTGAACACTGTGCGATGAGAAACTGAGGGAGAGGAGAAGACAAAAGCGAGCGGAGTCGTCAGAACGCCAAGCTCCGATTCAAAACGATTAGTGGGTAGACCTAATGCTAGCAGCCTTTGTCTACACTGCACTCGCCGAACGCGTCCTCCTCCTCTCCCTCACTTGCTCGGCGAATAGTCTGTTGCAGGTTTAGGATAGCATGACTGCACCTCCCATAAAGCTGTCTGCTCGCCGTGATTGGTGGTTTCCTCCTCTCCAGAGTTCACACTGCTAAGGTGGAAAAAGTGGAGGACTTTGTAGGAGGAGATTGTCCTAATCTGATTTTTACAAAAAACAAAAACAAAAAAAAAACAGAACACCTTTGAGCTGGAGCTGTTATTGAATATGCAAAGTTTCACGGAAAGAAATCATCACCTACAGATGTATTTTGTGCTGACTCAAGACAACACATTTTCGTCGGAAACCAGACTCTTTATTTCTCTTATCGATACCACGCTGCTGCTTGGAAAATCCCCCGCGCCCGGCCGGATTTCGACCCCGGACACCCGAAAGTAGGCACCCCAAAACACCAAACTTACAGGGAAAAAACAAAACAAAAAAATGTCTTACAAAGCATTCCCGAATCAGACAAAAAATAAACCTAAAAAATACTGGACCCTAAGTCGTTGCGGATCGGATTAACGGAGCGTTTTAAAATAGCGTTACTATAATGTAGTTACAGTTATGGCGGCAATGGGTTAACGTTGTATTCCTGTAACGCTATAGGCTAAAACTCCAGAATAAAATATCAATGAAACGCCACAATAAGTTTGCTCTCCAGATATGTTTGAGGTCAGCAGTGAAGACACTGCAGTTCAACCAACGCGTTTCAACGAGATCTCTCTTTTTTCTTTTTTCTTCTTTTCTCGTAACCATGCCGTTTCGGGCTGGTCTTCGGCGTCTTACGACATACCAGTCAGAAGAAAAACAAAAAAAAAAAAAAAAGCTAAATCGCCGAACGAAGCCGGTGAAAATGAGTATTTGCGTACGAGCGACTGTGTGGAAAGTTGAAACGCTTAAAAAATAAAACATTCGGTAAAAAGCAAAGGGCATATTGAAAAGGAAAGGGAAAAGGGGGGTAAATGCCTCCATGAGCACTAGTCACCATCTTAATTCTAGAACCCTGCGTAGATAACAGTTTCATCATCCGCATCCGGACCGCGTCCTGCCCGGAATCCGCGCATTCGCGTTACATCATTCAATGAAACGCAAATATATATATATATATAAAAGTGACGTTGTTTGCATATATTTATACAAGAACTCTCCGAGTCAGAATATGGTGAAAGTCATTTTATCTTATTTTGTTTTGTCGTATTTGTATTATAAGCGATCATCCTTCCAGAGAGACTTCGCGTCGCTGGAAAGATGATCGCAGTTATGAGATTGTCTTGGGAGTCTTCCACACACTGCCCCAAAAATGCGCTCATTTTTTTACATTTATTTTTAGCAGACGCGTATCTACCTAAACATGAAAATCAATAAGGGACACACCAATAATATTTTGGCATTTTATGAGGTAATAGAATGAAAACAAGTGCGAGAGAAAAGGCGCTCACTCACTGCAGCAAAGTATTCGAATATGGGTAGCAAGACGCGAGTACATCAATGGGAAAATCTCAATATTCAATAATGGCAACACCTCCTATACTTCGTTTCACCTTATGCTGTACCGCAGCGAAGGCTAGAAGCGCGAGCTCATAGCGTTGGCAGCTTTAATGCACGAGAGCTTGTGCCGCAGAGATGTGCCCCAGAGCAAGGAGCTCGCTCTTCTATAGACTTTCCTGCGGTATACGTCATATGGTGAAATAGGGTTATATCAGTTTCATATTTAAACACGACCCCGAGCTGCGTTCTACAAACCACATGCTCATCAGTTATTAACAAATACCAACTGTCAAAAAAAAAAAAGAAAAAAAAAACTTTTTTTTTCTTTTTTCGGCTGATTTGATTATTTTTACAGAGGGTTCCCGAAATTCCCTGCCGTCGTGACGCTGTACGTTTTGCAACAGGTCTATCGACGCAAAGAGCGTTTTCCTGGCCGCATCGTGCTGCAGATAGGTTAGCCGCCCGTGGACGATATGTCTCTGCAAGCTGTATATACAGTCAGGGCCATTAGCCTTGTTCGCGCTACCGAAACCAGACCGAAACGGCATAGTTTGTGGATGCACTACCAGTCCTGAATCGATAGAGTAGCGCCACTAATAAGCTACCGTCGGCAGCGGCACTCCATTCCTTGATTTTACTGTAAGTGGCACCATTTTGGTGCTCAGTGCAGAGCGCGTCCAATAGAACCTTTTCAAAAGTCGGCGCCATCGCCTGTCCGCCATTGCTTGACCACGTACCCCGAGCATGGATTGGACACGAGTGTGACGTCAGCGTTCGGCGAGCACTCGGATCCAATCACGCGCTTCTTGTCCAAGCAATGGCGACCGCCAATTTTGCTCGATGGACTTTTGGCGACCGTTACGATTCGAAAATTTCTGAGCCTTGGATAGGGTGTCAGGGGCATAGGCGTCGACTACGGGGGGCTCGAGAAATTTCCTGAAAAACGCAGACCCCCCCCCCCCCCCCCCCCTTCCCCCACCCATCGGGAGCTCTTCGGGATTCGGGAAAGGAAGTACACTTGCCACCCTTACCTACGTCTCATTCACCTCATATGTGTGCCGTGGCGGGTGCTTTCGAGTATCCACAGGTGTCGTCCATCAGTCAGAGCAAGGAGAAAAACGAGCTGCAAACGTTTCGCAAGGATTACTAATCGAACCATTAACACAAAATATAATAATAATTTTAGGCAAAAAAGAAAAAAAATTAAAGCCGTTTACAACTCCCTGTAACGCCGAATTAGAGCGCAGCTCTTGAGGAAGAGGGAAGGGTACTGAGGGGAGGGTGTACCCCTCCTCATCCTGCCTGCTACCCCTCCCTCCGAGCGGCGTCGGCGTAACCGTGAGGTCACGTGACCCTCGTGACCCCAAGGAGATCAAGTGGGTCACGTGACCTCACGGTTACGCCGCTCCAGCTGGAAATGGGTACCTAAGAGCTGCGCTCCAAAAAGAAAAGCAATAAAAAAGGGAACAAACCTGCAGACCGCAGGAAATACGTAGTAAAGACTCCCTCGGCGACGGCAATTGTAAAGGCGGTTAAAGGGCCCATGAAACGAATTTTGGGCTAGAATAAATGAATTTATATTGGGATTTGACTAATAGCACATCGTTCAGTGGGTCAAAAGAAAAAAAAAGGTAGAACGTCAGAAGCCTGACTTTCGGTACGAAAATTCGAGAACACAGCGGACTATTTCATACCTTCTTCCGTTCGTAAGCTCTCTGCCTTCTCACTGTGATACATCCGCGGTCCCCACAGCGCGTCACCGGGCCCAAACGCACGTCACACGACACCGGACCTCACTTAATCCCTTCACCCCTTAGCTGACATTGTGGTGGAACCTACGGGCTTGCCGGACCAATCAGCCGCCTCCCTTTCATCACCTGACTTCATTCTCTGCGCGAGAGAGCGCGATCACGTGGCAAAAGTGTGGCTGGCCCAACGAGCACGTAGCTTCCACAGCACTGTCAGCTTCGGGGTGAACGGAGTGGGGAAAGCAACTTTTGTCTGAATTTCGAGTGACGGGCTAATCTTAAACGTAAACGTTTCGGTGGACATCCACCTGGTTAGGTTCACGGGCTAATCTTATAGGGGGAGAAGGGCTGTGCCCGGGTACACAAAGAGTCCAAGCAAAAGGGGACTCCCCCCTTTTCCGTCTTCTTGAGATGTTTGGTAGAATGCACGATTTATCAGTTGAGGAGGAAAGCTAAACAGGAAAAAGTTGGAAAAGCGTTTCACTACCAAACTCGATATTCTGCGAGGCTTTCTTCCTCTCGCGTCTTCGAGTGAAGGAAGCGAAGGATGGGAAGTGGGGACTAAAAAATGAGACGTTTACAATTCTCTGTTATGCCGAATTAGATTGCAGCTCCTGAGGAGGAGGAGGAGAGGGTATGCCCCTCCTCCTCCCCCACTTAATTTATTGGAAAAATTTTCTCGTTAAATTTAGCGGAAAAACTTCCCCGCTATATTTAGCGCAAAAATTTCCCGGCTAAACTTAGCCAGAAAATTCTCCCGCTAAATTTGGCAGGAAATTTTTCCCCGTTAAATTTGACGGGAAATTTTCCCCGCCAAATTTAGTGGGGAAATTTTCCCATAATGCAACTCGCGATCACGCTCGCTAGCATTATTCCCATAATGCAATGCGCGCGGATACGCCAACGGCGATGACAACGCTGCTCTAAAACGTCGTACATGAGTCCGCGCGCGCCTCATGGATTTGGGAGTGGGGCACTTATGGTCAAGAGGTCAACGCGTCAAGAGATCCAATAGTCACGTGACAGGCGAGTTAAGAGGTCCAACGCATCAAGAGATCCAGTATGGGTCAAAAGGTCCAACGGGTCAAGATGCCTACGACTCCGTGGCCCCCGATCCAAAGGGAAGGAACCGACGACCACTCGTATCTACAGCGAGGAAAGTGCGTTTAATGCAGTTTGCCTCATGAAATCGGATTGGAAATCTGAACAGCGCACACTGTCGGAACGCCGCTTGCTCAGGATTCGTCGTGGTCGTCGTCGTGCGTCGGGGGCATCTCCCGCGCGACGGCGGCCTGGAAGGGGGAGTGCGCGTACTCCGGCAGCGAGGAGAACAGCCGGAAGACGGACAGCACTTGGTTGGGACTGAGGTCTCCCATGCGGTCGAAGACGCGCACTCCGCCGCGGATCAGCCGTGGTCCGCAGCCAGGGATCCACTTCCTGCGAGGGCACGAACAGGGACGCGCTCCATGACATCCCCTTCTAGAGGAAGTACCCTTCACGACAAGTGCGTCTTCGACGAACGTGCCCGTTTGAGAGAGTGAGTGCCAAAACAGTCAATACGTTTTTGAATATTTTGTGAGAACTATAAATACGGAGGAACGCGGCTTACCGGAAACGAAAAGGCATTTTGCGAAACCGTCTTATGGCTAGACGACCCAGAATTTAAAGGGATACTTCAACGAAATTTGAAATATGGCCGTCGTGTTCAAAAATAGGTTGAATATGATCCACAATATCCGTCAATGACAATCGCACGTTTGTATTTTGAGCCCGGTGGCTGTATTTTTCGTCATAAACTGCCCACTCTGGCAAGCGCTCGGAGAAGGCCCGGCGGAGAGCACGTGACATCTGCTCCACTCATGACGTAGTTCGTCTCGGGACAAGCAAAGCTGCGGCAAGGCTGACATCGAGAGGATGTCCAAGTCGTTCCAGCCATGGAAGCGGCTGCTTTTGTACGAATTTTGAGTCTTGTAGAACCTTGTAGAGGGACAACAGCGACTTCTGGGTCACACAAAAGAGATTCTCCCGCAGAGAGGGGTTCCTCCTTCCCCTCTTCTCTCGTGGTGGCCGGAGGGACGACAGTTACCGTCACTACCTGTCAAGGTTCCTAGACGGGCATTACAAACGAGGCGTTAGCGACATCCACCAGGTGCTCTTTGCTAATCGTTTAATTCGTTTTAAAATTCATTTTCGTTTTTAACAAGATATTGGTGTGTCTGATGTGATACTGCTCCTTTGAACACATATAGACCAAAAAATAAGCACCGAAATTTCGTTGTAGTATCTCTTTAAAGGGCTACTGCAACGAACTTCTAGCGCCCATTTTATCGCCTAGATGTCAACCACGTTCTGGCCACACCAGTGATTTCAGATTAAAAAGCGCAAGTAAAAGACACTACATCATTCGCTTCGTGAAAAATAGGATATATCTCAAATCGTGCAGGCAAAAAGGGTCAAATTTTTAATTTCGCTGAAAAAAATATATGTTATGGTGTCGTCTCTAAAAATGCATTAGCCACAAACCGGAAGTTCGTTAGATTTTTTGTTCTCGACTTACGAATTTTAAAAGAGGCCGCTGCGGAAAGCAGTGTTTTTCACATGCGTCGTGGGTCGGATGTTTCGCTCAACCTCCCGTCATGGATTTTTAGTCCACATTTTACACTCCGTGCGACGCGACTGGCGCGCCGCCGCGCGGCCGGTACTGAAAGTAGGCAGTGAGAACCCCAGAGAAAACGAAACCGAAACCACGCCGCGTTGGTTGGTACGGATTGAAGTCAGAGCGGTGCGGTTGCGCTGGGTTCACAGCATGAAGTGCTGCCTGTGCTGCGCCATTAAGTGCTTCAATAGTTATGCGTCGTATCTCGTGCGGACAAAGTTTCGCAGTTTTTCACCTCGCCGATGTTTTGTAGGACAGCGACAACGATGGAGCCGTGCCGTACGACGCGAGAAATTTGGTCTCCCGATCATGTCTGCCACTGTGTCGGCACGGCTGACATATTCTGCACTGCCGCTTTGCGCTCTGCGTTTGTTTTCGTACCAGTAACGCCTACATGTGTCAGCGCCGATAGGACGAACTGAAATGCCATCCCAAACTCGCGGTTATGCAGTGCCAATTTCGTTGGAGGAATGCCCTCCAAAGAAGTTTCGTTCCCATCGTACGTGTCGATATTTTCGGACAAGTATGGCACGCAATCTCTACTTCATGAAGAAAGATTTGAACGGTAAAAAAGTGACAAATATAAATCTAAAGAAAACAACAATGAAACTCGAAATCACTAAAGAATCGATGTTTGAGTATGGAAGTTTATGTGGTGAGCTTTCTTTCTTGGTCAGCCTCCTTTTGGATATGGGAACGCTGACACCCCGAGTTCTGTCGACAACATTTTTTTTTCTCGGCTTTAGAGCCAGCTATTGCAAAGTGGTTCGAACTGGAAGTACCGTCCGCTGGTCCCTTCTTACCTGTAAAGTGTGCACCTCCTACGATGAGTGGTATTATATTGACAGCCTTTGACGATCAAAGCCAGTTCCCATTTAGTTACGCTGCCCAAACTAAATTTCCATCTGGTTTCGCTATGCCAACTCTTTTTGGTACAGTAAGTGTTGTGTCAAGTGACAGTCATGTCAAAGTACCTGTGTGCCGAAAATCAGCACCTCGCACAGCGGGTTATTACACAACAGCTGACCGCAAAAGCCCTTGACGGCCAAACCGTGTGTTGGCCGACAACTTTGTTTTCTCGGCTTTGTAACCACCTTTCGTAAAGTGGTTTCAATTGGAAATACAATCTACTATAGTCACTTCCTACCACTAAAGTCTCCACCTCCCACGACCAGTGGTATTCTCTTGACAGCCTTTTCATGGTCAAAAACGGTTCCCATTGAGTTACGCCGACCAAACCGAATGTTCACCAGGTTTTCCTACGCCCCCTTTTTTTGTATAATAAGTGCTGTGTCATGTTACTGTCAAGTCGAAGCACCTGCGTGCCCAAATCTGCACTTTGCACAGCCTGCTATAACACAACAATTCGGGTCCAATATTGGATATCCCATACAGCTTTATGTCTTTATTCGTTAGAAACCTAACTTTCACACCAGCTGTCTTAATGAAACTTGGCACATTTCATGCGCAAACTTAGTGAACATCTCACTCGCCTTCAAATATTACTGTTCCAGCAGTCCTACGTTTGCAGCGACGAGCGAAATAAATTTGCTACTCAGAGCAATTATGGTGGCGGCCGTCCTGCTTTTCGGAAAATTGCTCTAACTCGTTTTTCGGCCGCAACTAGAGAAATTACCTATAAGAACGACCCAAACTCAATATATAAGAAGTGGAGAACAGTTAGATGCCGTTCTTAGGTTTGCCCCAGCACTCATGCAACGCCACCATCGACGTATCGGCTTAAGAAGCAAAAGTTTCGTCCGTGCGCGCTTCCGCCGCCACAGCTTGGCATGCGAAAAGGCGCCGCAGGCTGCTGAGCGCGCCTCACTGTCGAACGCCAGCTCCTCCACTAGCGGCGCTGCGCGCGTTTTTCAAAGCGCCCCCTATAGTTCCCGCACGGAGTGTGATTTAAAAGGCTCTAATACAATAAGATAATTTTAGGCGTTTTGCTTTTTTTTATGTAAAAATGGCAAAAACGCCCCCTCGGTCAATTGTTGACGAATTTTGACAATTAATTACTGGCGATCTACTTGGGTTATATTAATATTTCTTTTATGTCCACGGATAGCCCAAAACACTTTCTTTATACATATTATAATATGACTCGGTTGTAGAAAATATCCTTTGCGGGACGTTGACGTTAATATTATGCGAAAACCAAAAAATACCATTTTTGAAAATGATTTTCTAAAAAAAAACATTTTTTTTAATTTTTTTTTGTTAAAATGTAGATATGATAGTTGTCTACACAAAAAGTAAGTCGGTAAAGTGTGCATTTTGTTTGTATGTTTTATATTTAAGCGTCAATATCGTACAAAAACGTGTTTTTACGACTCGAAATGGACTTGCGAATTGCGCGCCTTCACAAACGGTAAAATATTTTTTGCCCTTTTTCAACGTTCCCATATAAAATTGAAATACACTAGTTCCACCCTGTTCTATTTATTGATTATTTAAATTTTATGATAGGCGGCAAGCTACATTGGAGGAGTTCAAAAGAGAAAGCAAAACTTCTAAACAGACCAGCAGGCGTCGTAAATTTGTATTGTGTAGAAATCGGCCGACGTCGTATTGATTCGGGGCCTTCATTGGCCTATATAAACGTCCCGCCCTTTCGGAACCAGCAGACAACCACGACCTTTCGCGCTCGTTGTGTTACATAGGACGGCCTGTGACAGTAAAGCGAGCAGCGCACCCTGTGTCACGAGGAGTGAAATGGGACGAATGGGTCGTTGACGCGACGAACATCTCTCTCCGCGGAGATCCGATAGCACCGAAGGGTTATCTCTTTTGGAAACAGCAAAGCCCGGAGACTGGCATTAAAAACGAGCGTGTTGGTAAATATACTTGTGTTTATTCTGCCCGCAGGCTAGTGGGGTCGAAGTCAGCCTCCTTGTCAACTATAGCCGTTTGTGAAGAGTGGCCTTCCCCCGAGATGAAAAGTTAGCGCCGGCTGACGTGTTCTTTCGAAAAAGGGAAGGGGAAAGAGAAAGTTTGAGTAACTGCAGAAGCTACATCGAAAGCTCCTCTCCCGATATGAGGCCCGAGGCATGTTACGTCTCGGTTACCTTCTCGCGCATCGCTGCTCGAATCTATTCTTCACTTTGTTCCGCACAGCTTCTGTTCCGCACAGCCGTCGTGGATGTGCGCAATAGAGTGAAGAACAAATTTGAGCATCATGTGGGATACCGTCATCCTGCTAGGCTTCAGTGTCGTAGGACTGGACTCGGCATCGGTCAGTTAAGCCTTTTTTTTTTTTTTTTGAACTTCGTGTGTGTTTTTTCGCCCCGCTGAACTTAGTTTCTCGGAAGCGATTTTGCTGAACGTTTTTTTTTTTTTTTTTATGTTTTATGATTGTTTGTTAGCATTGTTTAGTTGTGTTTATTTCGTCATGGCGTAGCGGCCTGACGGTGCTGAAGAGAGCGTGTTCGCACGCATTCGGTTGTGTCCCGTTTAGGGAATGCCCGGAGGAGTTGGTTTTTGTTCTTGCCATGTGCGGCTGAGGTTTTTCGTCTTTATTAAATCTTTGTTGTTTTTTTTTGTCTTGCCTTCACGTGCCATCGACTTCTTTGTCTGACTCTCCACCAGGCGTGGACCTATCGCCTTGCCACCGCTCGAACCTAAATACTTTATTTTTTTAACGCAATTTTCGTTAAGATCGGAGTTGGGCAATTTAATTCCTATTTATTTATTTTTATTTCCTACCCCACTCCGTGACACACTCTCTGTGTGTTTCGGAGCGTTTCTGTGTCATCACTTTTGTGTACTGCGGAAGTGAAAG